CTTCTTCTATATAGCTTATTAAATCTCTTAGGATAGGCTAATCTAGCTATACTAACCTCTAATTCTTATAGTCTAGTAGGATATTATACTCTATAAACTATACTCTTTCTAAGATTATATTATTTCTACTAAGCTCGGTAATTAATATTAGTTACTTAAGCTATATATAGCCGTCGATTATAAGAGTTAACTTAGTTATATAGGTAATAGATTCCCTTAATCCGCTATTATAATCTATAACCGGATAAGCGGTTAGAAGCTTAAGGATCTTTATCCTAAGGGATACTAGTAGCCTAACTATATTCGAATAAATATAGAGATATCTATTTACTCTAGTATCTACTAAATATTTAATTTAAACCGTTCTTCTATTAATAGCTATCTAAGCGTTAATAGTTATACTACTTATAGGTAATAGTAATTTATATAAGTTTAGCTTAGATATATCTCCTAGGATAGAGACTTTTCCTAGGATTAGACTTTTCCTATATTAGAGTTAGAGTTAGATCTCTTAAGTTCGACGAGGTTTACTTTATCGGCTTTCTTAACTAATAATCTAGTAGTAGTTACTATAATAATAGCTAATTTCTTCTTAGGATAGTTATAGGAGAGATAATCTTTTTCCTTATAGATAAAGTACTTTCCTTCCTTTATAAGTTATACTTTCTTAGCTGGGTCTCTAATAAAGATCGAAGGAGCTCTAGTTATATTTAAGTTTAAGATAGTATTTCGGGCTATAGTATTATCTTAGGTATAGCTACCGTATAAACCTATATTTAGGTATAACTTATATAGGCTATAAGCTATAATCTACTATAAGATTCTCCTAGTAGCTTTCTAGTATTAGTATATAAATTAATCGAGAGATACTTTGTTATTATTAATATCTATTATTACTTAGTTTTATATTAATAGTAGGATCTTCTGATATAGATCCTATTTTCGTAGATCTATAGGTTAACTAGCCTCTTCTACTAACTAGTTAAAGTCCGCTAAGAAGTCGGTAAAGTCGGTCTTAATATCTATTTTTAGGTTTATATATTTATTACGCGTAAGTCTCTTATAATCTAGGTTATTAAAGACGCTTCCTAGATACTTTAGTACCTCTTTAAGCTTCTTATACTAGTTAGTAGTATCTATATATATATAAGGATTAATATATATTAGTACTTTTCCTTCGTATTAACTTTTAGTATACGTAATATAGTACTTTTTAGTCGGATAGTAATTATAATTTAGTTTAAGTTTTTTAAGAATATTCGATTCCTAATCTTTAAACTTAACTTTCTTACTATCGCTAAGTATCGGAGGATTAGGGATCTTAGTAGATTTATAGTAGAGTCCTTTAGTCTTAGATATAATATAACTTAAACTAATTCCTCTACTAGTATTATAATCTACCTATATAAATCGTATCATAGTCGCTAGTATATTACGTTCTTTAGTAGTCTTATTATAGTTAGTATAAAGACTAGCGTAAGCTTCTTCTATATACTAGATTTCCGGAGTCTATTCTATAGTATTTAGAGACTTTAATATCTCGTTTTCCTTAGTTAACTATTCGATCTACTTAGTAAGATATTCGTTCTTTTCCGTCTCCTACTTTAAGGCTTAAAAGACTACTCGAGTATTACTAGAAATCTACTTAAGTAGCTATTCCGGGGTTTCGAGTTTATATTTAGCGTCTTCGTAGCTAAAATTTAAAGAGGTTCTATAAGGAATTTGTTCTATAGAGAAGGTTCGCTTATATAATTATACTATTATAGCTTCGGTACTAGTTATATTAGTTCGGTATTAGTAAAGTTATTAGGATAGCTAGAGGATATAGTATCTCGCTACCCGACTAATACTTTAAAAAGAAAAAAGATTATAAAAGAAGAGGAGAGCCTTTAAGATAATATTATACGCGAGAATAGAAAAGCTTTAGAAGGACTTAGAAACTTTTATTTAACTTAGCTACGTAGTATTAAGAATCTTAAAGGCTAAAGAGGAGAAAAAGAAAAGGGAAGAGGCTATAGTCTATCCTAAGTTTTAAGATAGTACACGTAGTATACGTGGTAGGCGTGGCTCACGCCCTCTATCCTCCTATATCCTATCCTTATCCTAAGTTAGTCCTACTATACTTATAACACTCTATCGATATACTCTATATAACTCTCTCTAACTAGGTTCTTTATTAATACCTAGATATACTATATTAATAGATACTACTATATCTATTATTTAAAGGGTAAAGAGAAAAATTAGATAAGATAATATATAGAGACTTAATAACTTATAATAAGTATAAGTCTATTATATATAGATAAGAGAATATAGTTAGTCTTAGTTTTATATAACTCCTAGGTAGTATAGCTATAAGAATCTATATAAAGAAGAAAGAAGATAAAGTAAGTATATCCTATATAATAAAGAAACTAAGATAAAGGGGAAAAAGGAAAGAAAGAAATAAGGAAGACGAAGTACTACCTTAAATACTTATTATAGGGCGGACTATAGTAAAGCGGTAGAATCCTTATAGAAAGTCCTAGATAGAAGGTTCCCCTATAGAAGTAAATAGAAAGGTAAATAATCCTTAGGCTCTAGTATATATATACGCGTAAGGCTCTAACTATTAACTATATATAGATATATATCTAATCTTATAAACAAAAACATCGGTTAAATAATCTCCTCCTCGATACTCTAAGTCTATCTCCGTTAACTAGCTAACCGATTTACTAGTTAATACTAACTTACTAGTTTATAGTAACTAAGTAGTTAACTCTTCTACCTAGCTCTACTCTCTAAGTTCGTCCGCGAACTAGTTAACCGACTTACTAGTCAACTCTTGACTTTTACCTATATATTATATCTAGTCGAAGATAGTCTAATAGATAATTTCTCTCTAAGAAGTAGGATTAGGGATATTCTAGTAAGAGCCCTAGAGAGGTTTATCTATATTAGCTAGTAAGATTATTAGGATATTACTAGTTAAAGATAATACTAGTTATAATATACTAGATATTAGCTAGTAGGAGGGTTTAGAGTATAGGATATAAGTCCTATATAGGTTTTCCTATATATTATATTTTATTAAGAGAGATCTAGATACTTTAGTATTCTATAAGTTAATAAGGATTATAGGTTATTCGAATAAGAAAGCTTTCGTTTCTAATTAGATATCTCCCTTCTAGTTTTACTTCTATTTATTTAACTACTAGTAGATTAGATCTCTTCTAGAAGGATATCCTATATACTAACTAATAGAGTAGAGTTTTGTAGGATTTGGGCCCTCTCTTATACTATCGTATAATTTTTAAAATTTTTAGTATAGTTAGGAGAGGGTTACTTAGTACTATAAGTAGTTAGTAATTTAAGCTAGATCCTTAGGGATCGTTTAGTCTCGAGAGCTTAGTAGGAGTAGTTCTAAGTAAGCTTTCGCTCTTGAGTAGTTAAGCACGGAGGCTTAGCTAATATAAGGGTTCACTATCAAATAAGATCTAGAGGGTAGATAGGATATAGTTCTTCTAAGTATAGCTACGGGCGTAACTATATATATACAGAGGACTAAGGGTCCTCACGTGACCGACCGGAGCCGTACGGTGAGATTATAGTATCATCTAGCTCTGGTCATCGCGAAAAGGAAGGGTCAGGGTACCTAATGCAGCTATAGGCCCGGGATCATACTCGCCCTTCTGTAGCTTGATAGGAGCTAGACTCCTAGACCCCTCTATCTAGTCTCGGATCCTCCTATTATCCTATATATCCTATATATCCGAACCGAAGGTTTATAACCTCTCGATAACTCTCCTCTACCGCTCCGGCTAGTCGGTCGATCGATCGATCGATCGTGAAAGGGTTAAGAGGAATCCCTCCAGAGTATAGAGAGGAAGGACTATAAGATAGATATCCGAGAGGGGACCGATAGGGACCCCTAAGAATTAGTCTTTATACTAATCTAACTGCTACGAGGCATCTCTTCTCTAACGATCAAGTCCAGCTACCTTTCTAAAGTAGTTACTTTAACAGGGGTGTTTGTATGATATATGATTCTGCCGCTCACCACAGTCCATAGCTTAAGTCGAATCTCTCCCCCTTAGCAATCTCACTCCTCGTCCCTCTCAGTCTCACACATCGATACTGCTACCCCTACCGTAGCCGTACCTCATCATGTAGCTGATAAAGAGTATAAGCTCTGATAACCTTCATACCCCTCGGAGATACGGTATACCAGACATGGCCATATCCCGTCTCTCCGCGCAGGCTGCAGCTGGTAGAATATACGCAATCTACTACACTGTCTATAGTCTCGTACATCGTAGCGCTTTATGTACCTAATTCAATGTAACAGTACGTCCACATTAACTAGGTGTTCAACTGACTAGGTATATCTATCACCTAATGGATGCAATGGAAAGCACGACCAGAACAAATCTCCGTCGGCCGTCCTTGCTTCTTCACAATCGTCGGCAGCTTCCAAAGCGGCGAGCTTTATGATCGGTCTCGATTTCTCTCTGGGTGACTGATATGACGATGAACTGGACCTCCATAACATGCATTCAACCAATCTAGTCAATTTGGATCGCAAGAATCTAAGAGGGCCGGGGTCCAACGAGGTCCCGTCGGAAGTCTTCTCGTCACTAGAGAACAGATTCGCGGGTTCCGCACCTGTAGGCTATGCAGCATTCTGACCCGGTCACCGTTCGCGAATTTGTGATGCTCAGATTGATCAGTCTCCTGGCAGAGTGACTGTCATGGGCAGCGCCAGCCTTTGATGGGCCGACTTTGAAGGCGTTGATTTGAAGCAAAAGTCCAGATATCTGCTCATCGGCTGCAAGATATGGAAGTGGTGCGTGGCGGAACGATACGAGAAAGCTCGTCAAGCTCATAAGTTTGGGTTTGGAGCAGCCTCTGAACGCACGGAATAGGGTTTTCAAAGCAGACAGTCTCAGCTCCGCACTCATTTATACAAGATATATGAGATTGGCGGGCAATTAGGCGCCCCTGATTATTTGACATTATGTTTGAATAACGACGGTCTTTCGACTGAGAGCGTCCTCAAGATGAAATCCAAATACGAGACGGTAAAGATCGACTAACCACGAATATTGACCATTGCGGGCCATGGTCTGACAAGCATGCGCCATATCGACAGCACTCACCCGAGCCTGGAAACCAGCATTGCGGAAGGCCGGATCATAGACTACAAGCTTTCGATAGCTTTTGAGTAGCGACGTTTGCCATGGTGCCGAGCCAAATGCGTCTGACGGTAGTGATTTCACGAACGAGCTCAAGGGGTGTGAAGAACCCCGCTGGTAGCCACTATTGATAGCGGCCTTAGTGACTAACACCTTCAACCGCGTGAAATTCGGATCCTCGGACATCGTGGTCACAGTGTTTGCTGACGAAGCGGTTTGGCCGGAGGATCGAGATTTCTCAGACACATTGGACACATTCGAGGGCCATTTGGAATGAGGAGGGGTATGCCCGGAACCGTGACCTAGCACCAAGATATTAGGGACCTGCGCTTCGTCTGGAGAGACAGTCGCGGTATCGTCAAATATTGTTGTCGGGGTCTCGGGATTCGGCGTCTGTAAAAGCATGTCCTCTGCGTATTCAAGTTCCGAGTGTCTGGAAATCTGCTGGAATGCTTGAGCAAAGGTCGCTTGACTTGGGCGTGGAGTGCCTCGGTCCGAGCTGCGCATGCTGTTCAGGGTCCAGCCCTCTCGAAAGATGTCGCAAAGCTCCCAGCAAGCCTGAACCGCGGAACCCAGCAATTCTTTGTCGAGTTCCCTGCCCTCCCGCTTAGTCTGACGGATGCTGAAAAGCATTTCTGCCAACGCCCAGCAGGCACTGAGCAGGGAATCTGTTTCCGTTAGTCGGGTTCTCTGCTTCATCAGGCGATGGCACAAAGTGATATAGAAGTCCAACGTTCGCTCCCGAAAGGCATCAGGCAGGTTGCGATCGTGAGTGTTGTACAGGTGATTGTTCAGCTCAAAGCTAACTCGTAACACCGAGTCGGTCGGTTCGCTATCGCAGACCCGAACCTCGAACAAGGCCTGGCAGAAGTCTCGACACAGGTCAAGCGTAGGGACGACTTGCGACCAATAATCATCATCACGGGTCTCGTATAGTTTCTGGCATAGTCTCCAGCATGATCGCCACGCATCTTCTTGCATACCGTCATGTTGAGATCGTGGAAGTCGTCCTCGATTGATGTAGCTCAAACTGGATAGTGTATTGCAAAGAGTCCAGCACTCGGTCAGGGCCGTGCGCAGGGCATGGATCTCTATCCCTTGGGGACCAGACTGCGCAGGCGGATGGTCAGCCCCCATGCTCGAATTCTTCTCTAGATACGATCTGAATTCGCCACCTTCCGGTATATCTTTGCAACGAGTTTTTAGCCTTTGCCGAGACAGCATCACCCGGTCATCAGCCGGCGATTCACATACCTTCCAAGCTACTTGAGCGGGTGCGTCGTCCAGATTCCTCCAGTTCTTGCATTGTCTGCGCACGTGGAGTCGCGCGATCGGACCAGTCCTGAGCCCGCGGCACGTTTGTGGTGATCGGTGGAGGAGAGATGGGGCTCGTGCTAGTCTTAGCAGCCAAGGTCACATTGTTAGCCCAAGCATGTAAAAGTGTCAAAAGTCATTCGGTTGCATGGACAATATTTACCCTGCTCCTATTCGGCGGTGCAAGAATCTCCAGCGAATCGGCAGAGTGACGCGCGTTCGATTCAGCTGCGGAGGGCGAATCTTCCTCGTCGTCACATGACTCTTCCAGTGTTTGTTCTAGTTGTGTCTATCAAATTGGTTGTTAGTACACCCTGGTTGGCCTTGTATTTCCCTCGTAAGACTGAAAGACCCTCACAAATTCGCCGAAGCCCGCGGGCGCATGAATCACCGATTGTGGTGCTTCATCCTCATCGGATCTCGCGACAGTTCCAGTACGACCCATTTGTGTAGTTTGAATCTAGCTCAATCAGCATGCGATTTGAAAGCTTTCGAGCGACGGGGATTAGAATACTGCTGGGAGCAGCTCATTTTCCTATACATTCCAAACGTACTTTCAAGCCCAAATGAGGGGACACGCCGGACCTAGTTTCTCTTCCAGGGGATGCTTGAGCAGCTTTTGCTTGATTATGTGCATTGTGGTTGTTGTTGTTGTGGTTGTTGCTGAGAGTCAAGTCGGACTCTGAGCTAATGTCCTTCTGCTGCTCATGACTGTGCCGCAATCCACTCTCTTTTATGTTCGAGGATTCTGGCTTGTCGGCAAAGTGAATTGCGACATCATCGGGAATAGAGGAATTTCTCGCCGATCTGCGCATATATCAGCGACCATTGGATGGACGTGAGGACACGCGTATCTGTGGAAGTCCAACGCGATAGCTTGATCTCACATTGACTCAGATCCGGCGAAAGAGCTGTGAATGTCACGATAGGGCAAGACAGACAGCGGTGAGCTGACGGCCATCATGGCCGACGGCTTGGGGATGTTGTCGCAGCGAAAGAGGAAGGGATCCAGGGGAGTGAGACGAAAGCAAATTGGCACGCTCGCTGACAGCTCCAAGATGCCCTCAACTTGGGCTGCTTTGTATCAGCGAAGTGCTCGCCCAGCTGGGTCCTCGGCTAGCTACCCCAGCTTTCCGGAGTCCAAATCTCACACGTTCGAGTAACACGCAGGCGCTGTTGGGTTTCGATACAGATGTTTTGATGCGGCAGAAAGCGTGTGAAATTGAAAAGTCAAAACAATTGTCACACAGAGAAATCCGAACATCCATCAAAATGCCCACTCGAGTTCCAGGCGCATATGGGCAGCGGGGGAATTGAGAAAAGAGATATCCGTCCTGGCGCCTGGGGCGTGATGAACATGCATCTCGGGCCCTTGTACTCCACTCAGACGCCGGCAAGCGGGCCCCCAATTCGATCAACTAGTCCACATGGGGATGTAAAGCGCTTGCGCCAGCTCGGACCACCTACAGATGGCTTGATGGAACTCCGTTGGATGCAAACTGGTTATGCATGCTTTCGAGGTTGATCAGGGAAGGCCCAGCAGTTCGCAGCGGGTTGGATGTAGGCGACTGGTCACTCCTTAATAGTCACTGGGTTGGAAAACATCCAAAACCTGCTTCAATCTCTATGGTTGTCATTTTTTGTGCTCTTGCTGTTAGGTCTCTCGCGCAGTGGTTTCACGACAAATTGAGATAATGATAATATGCGGAGGGTTCAAAAACGGCCCTCCGCTGCTTTATCCGAGTCGAGTGGGAACATGGACGTCGAAGATTCTGGATGAGGAATGTTTTCTTTGTGCACGCCCTGGCGATTTGCAGCTGCGATTGATCACTTCAACGGGGTGCTTATGCGACCGATGTTCATCAGAAGAACAACTGAGACGTCAAATGAGAGACGAAGGGAATCAATTTCTACAAGTGAAGCGGCCTCCATGGACGCCTAAGAATTCAGAGCTGTGTGTAACGCCTCCCATATGCAAATAAACCAAGCCATTGCGCAGCCTGCATCGCCATAATAGCTCTCGTCCTAAACCTGTGTTGAGTCGTGACCTGCCTTATCACGATAGGCAGAAACCTCAGCCAGCAAGTGTGGTGACTCAATAGCCAGGGTCGATCAGGAACATAGTCCGTCAGGTAGAAACACCACTGAACGCAAGGAAGCCAGCGATGCGATAAATAAGGTGACTTTTTGGGCGGTCGCGCATATGTGTGTCATTTGAGGCAAGCTTGGAATATGACTCATTGAGGATAGATCGATCGTGACAAGCGGTCGAGGAATGGTGGTGAATGAGAGCTTTATTGCTCCAGAGCATTTGCGCGCTCTCGCTCGGCCGTATTGTACCTACAGTGAAGGAAAATGTCAATCTTCGATCACTGGCTAGTGAGATTTGACTGCGTACCGAAGAAGCTTCTCAATCAGGTCGACGTGGGTCATGACCATTCGACGGCAGCAGTAGCGACGGCAGCCCAGCTGATCCATGGCGTCACTGAAGGGATTGTTAGTATTGTGCAACTCTGGGATATGGCTGTTCTAGCTTGACAGATGCCCTTACCCATCGCCGACACCCTGGTCGAGTAATTGCAAGTATCGTTCCCAGAGGTCCCCAACAACCTACGGCGATGGTCAGCGTATGAGTCAACAATGGGAGAAGAAGAGGCATATCTACCTTGCCACAAGAGAAGCAGCGCACTGGAATAATCATGATGGGCTCACAGAAACTGGCGATCAACGAACTTATGGCAAAGCAACGAGAGCTTCACCCAACCGATGAAACTTTTCCCGCGACGGCGGTCAGCGGGGTCGGGTTTTTCTGCTGTGCGCCACCGCCTCGGTTTTGTATCCCCGGAGGAAAAAAAAAGGTTGCGATAAGTCTCCCCAGCTCTACTTTGGTTGTCGATAGGTCTGATCTCTTGCTTGGGGGGGGTAATGAGACAATCGAGTTTTTGCATCTGATCTTATCCTTCACAAAATTCGTTGTCGAAGCCTTAACATAGGCATTGTTCACAATGGCTCCAAATCGGTCAGCAAAGCAACAAAAACGATCCCGGGCCAGCGATGTAGCAGAGAAAGTGTCACGATCAGTCGAGGAGCGAACAAAACGCCGACGGACGTCCGATGTCACCGAAGAACAGAGCCTCGTGAATAGCAATGGATCAACAGGAAAGGAGGTCGCAGTCGCTGGTGACGTCCCTTCCCAGGAACAAAAAGAGCGCAAGAAAGCTGCGCCATGGTCGTTTTCACGCCCCGTTGGTGGACGCTACCTCAATCTGGACCCGGTCATGACTGAGGATGAAGCGTGAGTGAAGCTCTAGATCTTGCTACCTGTTTACAAGAGAAGTAGTTTGCTGATTGTGAGATGTCATTCAGACATCTGTTTGTCGCACTAGACACTGCAGTGCAGGTCTTTGCTACTGCTACTTCCCGTCTCCTTCGAACCCTACAAATGGAAGCCGGGCAAAAGGTGGTCGGTTTCCAACTATGCCCTACTGAGCCAGGAATCCTTTACATCTTCACATCCGGCTTTGTGACCAAATGGGATTGGGACTCTGGCAAGAGACTTGCTCGCTGGGGCACTGATGCTACTACTGTCGCGATTGACCTGACCGTGCCCGAGAACGAAGCTCAACCGGTGTCGTACTCTATCGTCTCTCCCAAGGATGGCAAACGGCAGATTCTTGTCAATGCTTTGGGCGAGAAGAAGATCCCAGGGGTCCCTATCTTGACAACCAGTGAATCAATCAGCAGTATACGGGTCACATGTGGGGGTCGAGTCATTGTCGCTTGCGATGGAGCTCACATTTTCCTTGGACTTGCCTCAAACATCGATCTCGAGACCCCGAAATCAATTCAATTCTCATGGCGGGAGGCTACTCTCCCAGCTTCGGCCACCTGTTTCCACCTTCGGGAAAATTCCGAAGAAAGTCAACTATCTACCAACCCAGTGGTTGATCTCGCCGTCGGACAGGTTGGTGGTTCGATCCTGGTCTACCAGAACATTTTGAACACTCTGTTTGTTCAGTCAACGGACAAGAAGCCCTCGCCTCGTAAGCTCCACTGGCACCGAGGCGCTGTGAGTTCAGTGCGATGGTCAAGAGACGGTAAGCCCCTTTCCGAGGAGCGCAGATTGACAATGAGCGGGACTTTTACTAACATATACATCCAGGCAATTACCTCATCTCAGGTGGTCAAGAGTCTGTTCTCGTACTTTGGCAATTAGACACTGGCCGCAAGCAGTTTCTCCCTCATCTTTCTTCCCCCATCTGCAACATTGTCGTGTCTCTGAGCGGCAACTCGTATATTGTGAAGCTCGCCGACAACTCAGTCATGGTGCTATCTGCACGAGAACTACAACCTTCGGCGAATGTGACGGGGTTGCAGCTGAGTACCGAGGTATCCAGCTACAAAGATTCGTCTTCACAGAGGCCTTACGGTGCCGTGGCTACATTGCACCCGCAACACCCGGAGCGCCTGATGGTCACGGTGCCTGCATCATATCACGTCAGTCAGCAGGGTCATCAACGTCCGAGCTCCGCTGTCTTACAAACCTTTGACATTCGCTCCAACTATCACATTTCTCGACAAGCCCTCGCACGAACCAATGCGACAACGCTTGACATTGGCCCAGACGGTTCCCCTATTGTTGCACCAGATGTCTGCCAAATGGGCGTTTCACAAGACGGTAAATGGATGGCAAGTGTTGACTCATGGACGCCAAACCCCCAGGATGTGGAATCTCTCACTTCCAACACCTCCAACAAAGAGTTCGCATCATCGCATCCAGAAGTGTACATGAAGTTTTGGAAATGGAACGCCTCCAGTGATACGTGGGAGCTGGTGACGCGCATTGATGGTCCTCATTTCAAGGACTTCCGAAATTCGCCGGTTCTCAGCCTAGCGGCTCGACCATGCTCGCACGAATTCGCCAGTCTAGGTGCCGATGCGTTCCTCCGTATTTGGTGTCCCATATCTCGGCCTCGAAGCGGGTTGACCACAGATACCTCGAAACAAAACCTGGATAACTGGAAATGCCGAACCGTCGTCGACCTCAGTGCGTTTGTCAACCCGGCAATGCAGGCCGTTGAGGCAGGCTGCATCACTTTCTCAGAGGACGGATCGGTCCTTGCCGTTTGCCTGCCCTCCGCCACTGGAACGAGCGATGGTGTTGTGCTCCTGGTCGACGTGAGAAATGGCAGCATCCACTACCGCCGAACAGGCGTCTTCTTCGGTAACCCGTTCTCCGCCAAGTTCCTGGCCAAGCACTTGATCGTCGCAGCTTCGGGATCCATATCTGTCTGGGATACCGTCGATGACGTGGTAACGCCCGTCAAGCTCATCGATAACGCCAGCTCAGAATCACATTTCCAAACAATCCTCGCCGTGAATCCACGAACCAGCACTTTTGCCGTTGTTCTCCGCACGGGCGGTAGCTCCAAGAACCCCGAGAAGAAGCGCCGCAAGGCCAAGCACCACATCCAGATCTATGATGTTCCCTCCCTGGAGATGACATTCCACGAAACCCTTTCTTGCAGCCCTCTTTCCCTCCTCTCAGACACGCACACCGGCGACTACATCATTTTGGACTCCACCGCCACCGTGCAACGACTCGGCTGCCTGGAGAAGACCACACAGAAGATCACCCAGCCTCGCGAAGTCACCAGCCAATTGAACTCCGGCCTTGCCAGCATCTTCAGTCAATCCCACGAACGGTCCGCCATGGTTCCCGTGGTTGAAGACAACACCTCTGCTTCTCAGACCAAAGCCCTGGCAACTGTGTTTGGAGAGACTCCTGCTTTCGCGTTGCCTTCTTTGAATGTGCTCTTCAGGAACGTGGTTCAGACTCTGGGATCGAACTAAGGGGGCCAAAAACATGAGCAATACCCTTCCTTCTGTGCTAGTAGCTTACAAAAATACCTTTTTCAATGTGATATATTTCAATACAAGCGGTTGTGCGGACTTTTTCCTTGCACTTTACAGTTTACACTCTTGCAACAACGCGTGGAGTTGTACCATATTTGGAAGCAGTCGCCTTGAAAAAGCATTCATTGATAGCGAGTAATCGATTGATCGACTTCAACACGTCGACGCGCCGAGACTGAGAGCAGGTAACGTCAACGTCACCCCATCTACATCTAGGAATTGAAGAGAAGCCTCGAACGATTGTGTGAAAAGGACATGATTTTTTTGATGAGAACAGTAATGATATCTCATCCGTAGGTGATACATACATAAGAGGAAGGTGAAGTATGTCCATCATGAATGTACCAGCCAACCGTTAACGCCTGACCCGGGGTATCACTCCTAAAAACATGACAAGTAAAGCCAAACGAATCGAAAAGGTAAGAGACAATCAGACAAGAGGGGGTCGCGCTCGGTGATGGCCGAATGAGAAGCGACACAAGTAAGGGGTATTCAATAAGAATGGGGCCGTTGGGAACAACGCGGTACCCTTGTCCGTTTGCGCGAGTTCACCATACAAAAGCAGGAGCCGGTTACAGCAGCTCCTCAAATTTGCCCCACTGTGTAGAGGAACACAGCTTCAGCCTTTCTCTCAAAGACATGAGACAAATAGGCGTCCAGTTCGTGGTCTTCGTCAATAGGATAAAGCGTGTCTTGATCATTTTCATCCTTGGCCATTCCTTCGATCTTACTGAGGATCGCATAGGGAAAGTGGGATGTGATAATCTGACGCATTTCCTCGACGGAGCGCGTGGCGAGCTTGTCTGTCCATGGCTTTGGAGGCGGTCCTTGAATCTGGCTCTGGGGGCTGCTCTGGAACCAAACAACTGGATTGAGTATGGTGGAGTGAAGCATGGGATCCATATACTCAAACGGAGTGCCCGCCTCATGCGGTGTCGTTGCATTTCCCGAGAATGAGGTGGGATCGTTGGCCGCTTGAAGAAGAGAGGGATCGATTTGCATGTCGCCCAGCTCGCTAGCCGAGATGGGAGCACTCGCCAAGGCCTGAGACGCAAGGGTGCTGATTCCGTTGCTGATTTCGTGACCCAGCAGATTGTGCTGCTGATCAACGGGGGCGTTGCCGTTGTGAGATGAAGCCGCGGCCTGTGATGACCTTCGTGGAGTAGATCTCTTGCGAGCCGGGTCTCTCTTGGTCTGATCATCTCGAAAGCGCTTCATAACATCCCGACAGAGCACCTCCGCGGCTTTCAATCTCAGCGCTTGGTCTGGATCTGCAGAGTCTCCTTGCAACCTCTGCTGGAGAAGCGAGGAGCCCTGAATCCATCTTCCCTTCAGATCCGCCCAGTGTTCCTCACCGGCTTCCAGCTTACTGGTGAAGTGATCCGCCCTCAGAATGTCATAGAAGGCGTCTCGAATCTGGCGACTTTCGGCGGGGTTGACTCCCAATGCCACTTTGGCGTCCAGCAGGCTCATGCGACTCTCCAGGGTCCTCATCCGTTTGGTCACATCGGTACAAACGACATCAAGCGCCAGTGCTCTCGCATCGTTCTGATTCGGCTCAACACTGAAGAGATGTTGAAGGTGAGGGATGTCTTGGATCAACTGATCCTTGGCCGCTTGCCATCGCTCATCTCCCGCAATGGTCTTCTTCTTGAGCCCTTCCCTTTCGCAGATCTTCTGGAAGTGCACTCGGAGGTGACGATACGTCTTGTTGTCCAGGTTGAGATACTGCTTGCTTTCCTCGATTGTCGTCTCCGACGGATAACGAGGAGGCCCCGGTGGATCAGCGGGCAACCCGGCCCAGCCACGAGTGCGGCGACGTCGCTTTCGAGATGCCCAGCGCTCATCACTTTCCATCTGAAGCTGATCAAAGCGCTCCTTGCGCTTTGCCACCACTTCTGGAGACAGGGTCGATGCAGCGGGTTGCTCTGGCTCGGGGGGCGAATGCGAGGGTCCCGGTTCAGCAGAAGTCGACTCTGTGCCTTCGAATGACATCTCCTGGTTGTACACCTCCTGCTGAAGCGCAAGGAGTCCCTCATCGCTGGTTTGGACACTCTGCGACCGAGATCCACCACCAGGGGTTGGCTTCATGCCATTGGGGACGCGAAGAAGCCAGCCATTCTTTGAGCGGACGCGCATCAACTCCCGCTCGGAGATTGTGAACCCCTCTTCCACCAGAATTCGAAGCATATCGCGCTGGCCGGTGTTCTGCTCCCACAGCTCCCCGACTCGGGCAACCAGGCTGGCATTCTTATGTGCTGGATTTTGCTTCGAAGGGAACTCCCAGCGGCTGAATTGGGTTTGATAAGCTCGTTTACTAGATATCATTCAATATGCGTCAGTACAAAGGTCCGACGAATGTGACGGCTGCAGCCGTCACGTCACCTAGAGCTCGAAGAGCTCGTGACACAACGCCTTTCTAATATCGATCAGCATGCAGGAAGGTATATAACTCAACTAACCTTGGTCCAAAGTTGTAATGAGTCTTCATGTAGTTCATAATGTACTCAAGGGACTTTCGTTCCTGGATGTACATCTGATAACAAATCTCCCTCTTGTCCGCCCACTCGTACACCATGACGGCGGGAGACGCTCCCTCCACCTCGAGGGAGGGAGGGGGGGAGGTGTGGTGCGTCTTGGGGGCGGCAGAAAGAAGAAAGTGACGAGAGCGTCGAGAACGGTGATCGACGGAGCTTGATTTTGCTTATCAGACGATTTGTCGGTTGTTGTCGCTATTGTTCTCCGTAGAGGGTGCAGAGGTGCAGGGAGGAAAAACCACGGCGGACCACAGAGGGTCATGGTGCAGATTAGTCAGGTGACTCAGAGAGGTCTGGGCAGTGCGCCACTGAGTAAAGTTGGGATCGGCAGGGGCAGACGGGACTTTCATGCAGTCAGCGCTCAGCAATTACCACTTCCGCGCTACTGCAAGTATACACTGTTCATATGATGATCTCCATCCTAGTCTCGCCCTCTTTATGGATGACTGGTTGTTTCTCGATTCGCCTGACTTTCTTGGTATTCATGAAACTTGCCCTTTCGTCCATGCTTCCATCCAGTGCATCCACTGTCGCAAAGCACATACATTTTCTCGACGGTAAGATATCGAACCCTGGTGAACGACAAAGGTGATCACACACGCCTCGTAGAGCCCCCTCTGATCGACAACAGTCTGCATGTGCTGTACTCTTATAGGTCATTACTTGATTGGATACGATCAGGTTTTAAACATGTTCAAGAGAGTGTCATTGTCACCATAAGCATAAATGTTACCAAGATGAACTCGAAATGATATTTCAAGTCAAATGGTCATGATGGGAACCGGCCTGCCTAGAGCAAGGGGTAGAGGGAACGCATGAGATCAGAAAAAGACTGCCATCCAACGCCATAAGCACACAATCCCGGATTGTGTGGCCAAGAAACTCCTTTCCGTGGAAAGCTGCAGATTTGGGCATGTAGTGAGAACAAGATCAAAAATCGCTAGATGACAGACAATAAAGCGTGCAGCCATTGTGGGTGAGGGGAGGGGAATGAAAAATCACATAGGAAAGAGAGAAAAAAAGAAATCGAGAAGATAGGAAATAAAGAGGGAAAGCACCAAGAAACAACTGCGAAGTTATCGCAGGCTTCTTGGAACCTCCCTCAGTTGACTTTTCGCAGCTTCCGACGGAGTTTAAAGACTCGCGTGCGAAGCCAGGTCATGAAAAGGACCCAGGTGCTCTTAGACTGGGACTTCCACGAAGGTGATGAGTGGTCGCTGCTGGTGAACTTGGGGTGGGGGATCTCGTCGGTCTTCTCAGAGAGTTGGGCGGTAGATGTAGTGGCGGGTGTGGCCTGGCCCTCGGGGGAGTTGCGTTTCACCAGGCGTCGCCCCTGCCGCTCTTCCGCCTTCAGCTGCTGTTTTTCCAACCGACGGGCCTTGGCGGCCTCTTTCTCCTCAAACGCCTGTCGAGCCGCCTGGATGGTGGCAGCTCGGGAGATGGGATCCGTACTGGTCCGCGTACGATTGCGAAAGACGAAGTCAAGAGAAGGCCGTGAGCTTGGAGAGGTAGTGTCCACGGTGCTTCCATTGTCCCGGGAGTATCCGAATGAGGGTCGACCGGAGACGTTGGTCTGTGAGATGCCGGCCAGACGGGTGAACGGATCGTCGTCAATTTGCAAGGAAGGTCGCGGTACCGTTGTCGAGGATGTCCGAGCGGTGTGATGAGACTCCAGCTCGGGACGAGTCTTGGTCTGCAGTTCAGGGCTTCCTTCGCTCTCGTCGTCACTCTCGTGCAGGGACGTTTGATGAGACTGATGGAGAGGCGGACTGTATGACCGAGGCGTTGGGCGAAGGGGATAAACATATTGAGATCCAGCGTTTCCTCCGCTGGACCCAGTCGCGGTGGAGAATTGCGACGTGCCACTGATCGATCGATTGTGCATCCCCGGCGTGGTTCGACGATATCCGGTCCCCGTCATGGAGTCGCTCTGGCGACGCTCCCGCTCGCGTTCAAAATTCAAGTAGATGCCCAGACCCTCCTGTTCCGTGGACGAGCGAGACAGATCGATTGACTGCGAACCGGACTCTTCCCGCGACAGTTTGCGAAGCATGGGCTTGATGTGAACTTTGGGTTTCATGTGCTTGCTCTTGTGGGAGCGATGTTCCGGGATATCCGCAAAGTCGTTGGACAGGACGCATGGCGATTCGAACTGCTCGATCGATCCACTTGCGGTGGTCGCTGGGGTGCGTCTTGACGGAAGAAAAAGGACCTGGTCTCGAGATTCGGTGGGTGACGGCTCGGCGTACTCGGGAAAGGGGAGCGGCTCTCGGGGCTCATCTGACCCTCGGGGCAATGACGCCGACCCTAGATCTTTCAGACCCGCACGGCCTTCCACGCTGGAGGCTTTGGAGCCCTTCCGAAAGTTGCTGTACTTGGTTGGCGGTCGGGATGGCGAGTCGAACGACCATCGACTCTTGGAGATCGACTGGGTCGACTCTCGACCCGTCGGAGCGTCGCTGCGGCCCATGACGACGACTCACGGACACACCCTCCGCAGTCCACACTCTCGTTCACTGAACAGCTGGGACCTTTTTGTTTTCTTTCACAAACCAGACACACTGCGCATGGTGGTTGTTGATGGGTCTCAGGAGAACTCTGCGGGTTTTTTCCCCCTTTAGGTGGATCTGAGCTAGCAGGGGGAAAAGGCGGGGAACCCGCGGAGAGAGAGGAGAAGTGTGCACAGTGTAGAAAGGGAAGAGGGGGGGGGGGGGCTTGACTTTACGACTCAGGAGCCAGAGGGGCAGGGCGATTTCAAATAGGAGATGTGAGCAATCACGAAGACGAGGATTGTGGCTTGACGCACACCTGCATTACCGATGTACGATAAGCACCCCCCGTCCGGGCGGATCGTCGTCGGAGATGGGGGAGTGAGTGATTCTCCACGTGGGTGGGCGGCTGCAAGGGGAAGAATGTGAAGAAAGAGGGGAGAAAAGGGGTGTGAAGAAGAGGAGCCGGGAGAGGAGATAGAGAATCTCAAGATGAGGAGATCCGGGGCACTCGGCAGGAGACAGAGCGTGGCGTGGGGGGGGGCGGGGGTGGTTTGCTATCACCGAGAGGTGACAATCAAGGTGAGGAAGAGGTTGAAGAGAAAGAGAGAGATCTCTCAGCGTAAGAAATCAAGTTGGAGTGCGACGGGGAGTGCGAAGTGAAGTGCCGAGTGCAAAGATGAGAGAGCAAAGCAGCAGCAGCAGCAAGAAGGAGAAGAAGAAAAAAATAACAATAATCCCCTCACTACGACGTGAATGGAGCACACGGTCGTAGTGGTCGTCCTCTGTTACTACCGTCTTACTCCAGCTACGCGTCCAACTTCCGGTGTGAATCCCGACGGGCGGAACCAAGAGAGAGAGAGAAAGACTAACGCGGAGCGGTGAGAGTCTAAGAGATGCGATCTTGCGTGGAGGGCGCAGTTCGAGATTGAGGCTGGACGCTTGCGGATGCGCTCGGGGCGCTACTGGACGCCTCGAGCACGACTTGGGAGGACTTGGAGAGTTACTGCGGTGACTCTCCTCCACCGAGTCCCACTGGACTCTGGAGTCACTGGGGCACACGAGAAACCAACTGGAACTGGTCGTTGGCACTCGTAGTCTTGTCCACTTTGTCCAGACCTGGTCTACAAGAGGGCGCCAGTCCTGATCCAGTAGTGACATGGACCCTCGGCATGGTCGGCTACGATGGCACTCAACCAGGAACGGTGTTTGGCAGTTTAGTTCATAGGTAGGCAGTAGGCAGTAGGCAGGAGGCAGTGAGGCACAGGCAAGTCGCCTCTGCCAAGTCAGGGATTCATGAATTGGGGCGACCGGAGGGACGTAGGGGAGCGACCAGAATCTTGAATCTGCACTACGGAAGTACAACAGGCTGTACTCACTATAGCACTAGAGAGTATAGTGTACCTCTGCTACTGCATGATAAGAAACATGGAGGCGTAGTCGTAATCCAAGTATTTATGTAGGAGTAGTAGAGGAACAGAGTTCGAAATACTACTAGGTTTGTCGGACCACAGAACCACCGTGTAAGCACGCAATGATTGGGTCATCGGCAAAAGCGATCTCTCTTGTCGAGACTCGAGACTGGGCCGATCTCGTTCAGTCCAGTCCAGTCCAATCCAGTGGGAGAATGGAGGTAAGCATCGTACAGTAGGAAGAGGAGTTGAAGTCACTAACGTCAGAAGAGTCGTAGTAAGAACATTAATACAGTAGTGGTTGGTCACTAAAGTAGTAGTGAGAGTCCGTGTGAACCTGTCAGACTGTCAACTTGTCATCGACCCCAGACTCCAACATCTGAACCACCGCTCGGTCGCCGCATGATGATGGAAAAGTCGCTTGGCGTTCCGTCGGCCCGGTTGCCTGGATGACCAGGCATGACATAATCAGGTCAGATTAGATCAGATCAGGTCAGGTCAGGTCAGGTCAAAGTTCAGAGCCAGGCACTCACTTGCTTAGACACCTCAGGCCCCAAAAAGTCAAGAAGGGTTCATCCAGGCACCAAGGCACGAAAGGTCTGTCATATCACATGACCACTTCGCAAGCTTAGATCTATACGGCACTGCTACAGGGCGCGGGGCATAGCGACTGTCTACTGTCTAGTGTCTACACGGTAGACAGTAGACACGAGACAATGAAATGATTCCAATACTGGCAGGCTACTTCCCAACATACCCTCAATCGCGTTATATCTGGGCCAGCTAAATACCCAAACTTGGGCATCTTTCCAGCATGCTGACCCAGGTGAGACACCCTCCGCAGTCCGCCTTACAGCACCTGTCACGGGCGACTTGCCGTCCATGAATTGTACCTCTCAACTTGCCCTCTACATCTGATAGATGTGAGCTTGCTGGTTAGGTTTCCCCCACACTCCCCCTTCCTCCCGACCCGGACGCAAATGGATCTGGAATGGCCCGAGTATGACCCTTGGTACTGCGTCACCCGAACCCACGTGTCTTGTCATTCAAAACACACCGAGGCAAGCTACCTACCTTGGTTACACAGGCGCAGTCTAATCGCAAATTGGGCGATCTCGACACTACCAGTACCAAAGCCGTCTATCCGATTACCAGTCTCGATTATTGCAACCTCGTCATCGGGGAGAATGAAGTTCAATAAGCAACCAATATGAGCCGATCGCCTCCCCCGAGTGTGGCTCCGCTGCATTGACAACATTACGTGTCTCTCTCCTGCATCGATGGGGTTGCTGGTCACCCGAGGCGCCGCCAAGGCTGTGCCAAGCCCAGCCCGTCGTGATGAGGGACCAACGCAACCCCACCATCCCTCAAAACAAAGCAACCAAATGAAAAAAAAAAAGGAAGAAACGTAGATCATGCATTCTGTGGACCAAGACGAGTCCCAATCGTATATTGTGTAGCGGGGCAGACGGACCGAAAGTGAACCCGAATTTCGTCACGAGTCTCGTCACCTGGCAACTTGTCCAATGATCCAGTCACACAATCCTCCTGCGGTACTTACTTTTCTACTAATCCTCTCTTTGCAACTATTTTCGTCCACCTCCATACATCCAAGATCTTTTGAAAGCCTCAAAATCAACCGCCTGCGATTGACGTGCCCCTCCACTAACCCCTCCCGCAACCATGGCCATGTCTTTTCAGAGCATGGGGCTCGGCCTGTTGATCATCCTGATGATCTCAGGTCAAGCCCATGCCTTTGGTGCTGGCAACATTGCTTCCCTGTCCAAGATTGAAGGAATGAACTGGCGGCACGGAGACATCGAGGATGCACTGCTGTCTCTCGTCCTCGCCCGTGTGGCGGGAGGTCGCAAGTTCAGTAAGCTCGATGTCAAGCGGGTCTACTTTGGCAACTGGCTCCGTGATTACAGTCAAGCCGTGGACGTGGGCACGGTCAAGTATGTCAGTGCCGAGGCCATTCGCGTTCTCATCTGGGTCTTGGGATTTCTGACTTTCGGGTAAGTGCAGACCACATACATTCGATCAAATCATGAGGTGTCGCAATGATAAATAAAAATGAGAGATATTTTTATGACTAGGTGCTAACCGTACTCCTTTCGCACTCTCAGCTACGGCACCGCCGAGTTCGAGGTCACCACCGAGCGTCTGGGATGCTATCAACCCACCGAACACATCGATAACCCCCTGGGATATGCCGAGGGCGCAGATGCGCGCCACTATGACCGCCGTCTTCGTGGGCCAGTGGACGAAGAGCGAGAGTTATCCATTGATACCCGAACTGGTATGTAATATCTGTCAATGAATGCATTACACCTGCCCGGTGATCTTTGTCCACCATCTTCATTCACCTCGCTCACGCTACTTTTTACTCGGTGATTCACAGGTCTCAAGAACTACATCGCCTCGGAAGATCTGGGTATCGATACATCGGCTGCTTTGATCCGTCGCACTCTTGGGGGTTCCGTTGAACTGGGCCGTCGCTATGCTCGCTCCGGCAACAAAGAAGATCTACACGAGGCCCTGCGCCTGCTCGGCACGGGCCTACACTGCCTGGAAGACTATGCCGCCCACTCCAACTACACGGAGCTCAGCTTGATCGAGCTGGGTGAGAGAGGTGTCTTTCCCCACGTGGGCCGCAACACCATGGTGCAGATTCACGGTGCGCAGGAAGAGGTCTACCCTATCGTAACTGGCACCTTCGGAGGTGTCGACTTCTTCCACTCGGTGCTGGGTGAGTTTTCCGACAAGACCAAGCAGTCCGAGCTTCAGGAACTCGAGGGCGTGATCGCCGACTCTCAGAACCAAGGCGAGACGCAGAGTATGTTGCAGGAATTGCTTGGCAAGATTCCAAGCGGACTGATCGGCAGCGGCGATCAAGCCGGCAAGATGGACGACTTCAAAAACCAGTCAAACCAGGCCCGTCAAGATGCCCAAAACTTCCGCCCCCACGACCCGGAGGAGTGGGTTGAGTACGTGGACAACGTGCAAAAACAAATCTACCCAGTGCTTCAGTGGCACGACGAGCTGCTGAAGAGCATCAACGAGGCCATCGAAAAGATCCCCGTGCTGCCTGATCTGATTGAGAATATTCAAGACCAGATCACCGTCTTTGTCTTTTCTGTGATTGCACCCTACATTCTGCCCATCATCTCCCAGGCCAAGGCCGAGCTCGAGACTGGTTCGTCCGAGGTCATTCAGTCCAGTCGCGCCCAGCAACATGTCGTCTTCAACGACGATTATTCCTCAAACCCCACGCACTCAATGCTCTCCAAGGACCACTTCTCCAACGTCCTCAATGAGCCTGCCGGTCGTATTGCCTCGGAAGTGGTCAAATGGACCGTGCCGCAACTTATGCAGTGCTGGGACCACGAGGATGCCGATGTGGATCGAACCCTGAACCGCATCATTTCCGGAGTCTTCCACCACCCGGCTCTCCGCCACTATGGCGATGACGGAGCGGCTGATATCCGCCAGATCATGTTCTCCACCGTGGAGAACTGGTGGAATGAGAAGCACGATCATGAGCGCGATGAGCTTCGAGACCAGCTTAGCCGTGACGGTGTCCGCCAGGGCCGCAACCACAAGGAAGGTGTTGAGGACTGCGGTCACGGCTGCGGCAAGCCTCTATCTCTTCCTAAGCCTGATAACTCGGGCCAGAGCGGTGCGATGGGCGATTGCGGATATGCATATACGGAATCGGAAAGCAACCAGCAATCCAGTGACAACGGGCTCGGCAAGCTTGCGTCTCAAGTGCTAGGAGGTGGAGCTCTCGGCGGTCTTGTCGGAGGTCTTGTCGGCAAGATGGGCTCTATGGCACTCGAGGGTAACTCTTCCGGAAACAGTGAGCAGCCTGGGTACGGTTCTGAGCAGGAATACTCCCACGAGGAGCGCCCCTCGCACTCCGAGTATGGCCGTCCCGCGTATGGTTCTCAGCCGGAATACTCCCACGAGGAGCGCCCCTCGCACTCCGAGTATGGCCGTCCCGAGTACGGTAGCTCCCAGTTCCACGGCGAGCAACCGCCACCTCGAAATGATTACGTCCAGCAAGACTACCGCAGCGAGTATGCGTCCGAGGTCCCTTACACACAGAGCTATCGACGGGAGGAACACCATGAATCTCATGGGGATAATAGCGGCTACTATGAGCGACAAAGCCATCAGACCTACGAGTCAGGAGAAAGCGAGTATCGACGTACTGAGACCCGCTACGAGTACGATGCGCCACAGCCGAGCTATGAAACGAGGCATCACACGAGCTACAACGGTGGAGCAGTGGTGGAGAGGTAAGTCAATCACTGCGCAGGGGTATAACAGAAATCCCAGGAGATGTCTCGCGATATTAATTAAATCGGAACGTCGCAGTGGATACTCCTCCGGATATGGTGCTCCTCCCGCCCACGGAGTGTACGGTGCATACGAGCAAGAGAGCTATCGACCACGCGAAGATGGGGAAGGCTATAGGGAGGAGGAGCAATACGGCGAGCGCCGTCACCACCATCATCACCACCACCGCCACCACCATCACTCGGGATCTGACGAGGAGTAAAGGTTGCTATTCTCCTCGACGTTGCAGATTAACCGGAGGGTAGAGTAAATGCAGATGCATTCTTGTGAAGTTTTGTAGAAATTTTTCATCTCGGTTATACATGAGAGAAGTACCAAAAAAGAAAAGTTCACTCTACCATTCCTTGACCTCGCCTGGCGCGGGTTGCTCCGTCCGCACGACCTTGTCGCAGTTGAGCAGGCGTAGAGGATCAAATGCCATTTTCAACTAGAAACAAATCGAAAGAAGAAGCCAGTTAGTCAAATCATGATCAAAAATCGTGCATAGATGAAAACGGGGGAAGGAATGAGAATCGAGCCGTATTGAGAAAGACCCGACTATGTTTTAAGACTCACCCGTCGCATAGCGTCCACGGTGGACTCGCCCAACTCGTGACTCAAATAGTCTCGCTTGACTAGACCGACGCCGTGCTCGCCTGTCACGGTACCTTCCATCTCCACGGCACGCTTGACCATACGGTGGACGACACCCTCGGCAATCTCTTTTTCTTTCTCGCTAAAGAGGATGATGGCTGTGGTAGGACACAAAGGTCAGCTTTCTGTCCTTTTGAGGGGGTTTATTGGCCGTCACCATCCTTCCATCCCTCCTTCTGCATGATTGCAAGTCTGTGGGGAGTTTGACATACCGTGGAAATTACCATCACCCACATGGCCACAGATACCCGCCAACAGCCCGCTGCGCGTCATATCCGCCTTGGTAGCATCGATGATATCCGGCAACTTGCTCATGGGGACGGCCACATCCGTAGTCCAGACATGGTCATCTGAATTGCGGCGCATGGCCATCACACTCCACAGAGCGGCCTTGCGAGCGCTCCACAGCTCGGCCATCTCACTCTCGCCGCGGGCAAACTCAAAGGATTTGCCCGACGTCTTGGAGGCAATCTTCTGTACCATGGAGATCTGTTCCTTGACCGCGGCGGGGGTCCCCGCGAAACGGAAGAATAACGTGGGTGCCTCCTTCCAGGCACGGGTGGTTGAACCGCTCTCGTTGATGCACTTCATCTGGACGTCGTCGAGGATTTCGACACCGGCGACGGGGATCCCTGCTTCCACGACATGCGTCACACATTCGGCTGCATGCTGGATGCTGGGGAAACTGGCCACGGCCACGTTCTGACTCGCCGGCTTGACGGTCAATTTCAGAGTGGCCTCGGTGACTAGGCCGAGGGTTCCCTCGCTGCCGATAAAGAGCTTGGTCAAGTCATATCCGGCACTGGACTTGCGCGGACGCTGACGGGTCTTGATCACGGTGCCGTCGGCCAAGACGACCGTCAACGAGAGCACCCACTCGCGCATCGTTCCGTAGCGATACGCATTCGTCCCCGAGCAGCCCGTACCCACCATTCCGCCGATCATCGCTCCGGGACCCGGGTCCGGCGGGAAAAATAAGCCATCCACCGCCAATTGCTCGTTCAGCTCCTCCCAGTTCACCGCGGGCTGCACCACAACGTCCAGATCGCGCTTATGCAGGTCCAGGATGCGATTCATCCGACTGAAATCAATACACACGCCGCCGCGCGTGGACGCAAAGTGGCCCTCCAGACTGGTCCCGCCCGAATACGGTGTGACGGGGATGACGCGCTGATGGCAGACTTTCATGATGCGGGAGACTTCCTCGGTGGTGGAGGGATAGAGGACCAGGAATGGTTTTTCGTCGTGCTTGCGAGTATACGAGGACCAGTCTGAGCCGGCGTGACCTTCGAGGTCGTCTGGGGTTGTGGAGACATGATCTTTGCCGAGGATCTCGACGAAATCAGACCACGCTGCCTGAAGATTGGATTCGGAGACATTGTGCTGAGGAGGGGTGAGGTCTGCGAGGGACGTGGTGGAGGAGGTTGGGAGAGCGGCGGGTTTGAGAGAACCAAGGTAGTAGGCGCCGGTTGAGAAAAAGATGATAGCTGTTGTGAAGACAGAAGCCAATCCACGAAATTAGCGATACCAGTCAACAAAGTCTCTAACAAAGTCTAATTTGATCGTCAACGCAATGCATCCGCGCAAGAGTCACTTTCGACTGGGAATTTGCAACAGACGCAACACGAAGGACAAATCATGAACACAACGTAAAACAGGCATGCATACCAAACATCATCGCCGCATACCGACTCCCCGAGGACTGAGTCTGATACTGCGCATACCGCTCCTGCTCCGCCCGCTCGCGCTTCAACCGCTGCTGCGTACTCTCATACAGCTGACTCTTGAACGAAGCCTGTTGTGTCTCATTGGCGCGATATCGCGCCGAAGCGGCAAAATATCGTGTCGTTGAGGGCAGACATGAGGACGAGGGCGAGGGACGAGCTGCGAATGGGACGGGAACGGGGCGCGTGGGAGAAGTTCGTAGAGCACCGCGGAGGACGGAGCTATGTAAACGGACCATGATGCACTTTGTAGAGCGAAGGTCTGCTCGCTACATGAACGATCGGGCGAAGGTGCGCGACGGGAGGAGGGAAGTTTGGCGAGTGGATTGGAAGAAAAGAAGATCAACGGAAGATGTATGATGCCGCGGGCTTGGCGCTGGAGCCGCGGTGGTGTGGGACTGGGACTGTGGGCAACGGAACCTTGACGTGCATGAGATGATGAGTGTATTTGTTCGGTCGAGAAACAGAGAGACTTTGAGGAGTCTCTCGGCCGGAAAGGGGGGACATCTGATGAGCTCGTAAGGGCTAGTCCCTACTTTTTCTAGTATGGGAATCATTACTTACCTTGGTGAGTCTGGCGATATTTCGATGCGTAGCTGATTTTCAATTTTTAAGGGTAGTGAGGCAAGATATCCGGCCGATCGGTCAGACTGTAAAGGGTAAGCTCGAGCTGTTTGGAAGCTTTGAAATACCTGAGGCAGCAATCACGGTTGGAGTCGCTGATATCAGAGTCACGTGGACTGCTGCTACCCATTATAGTAACTGCCAAACTGGTGACTGTGGACTGGTGATTTTGATCAGTAGTGGGAGTACCATCGACTCCAGCTCATCATGTGGAAACAAGATCCGTCGGGCTCTGTCCTTACTCGGGAAGTTCAACTGCTACTAAGTTACGCAGTTGTACACTATTGAGGTATTATGTGCAGCCAAGATGGTGTTCAAGTCAATTTCATGGACGCACGAGTTGCCTGAACTTGGGGATTCCATGGCCTGTGGTGGTCGAGATTGCCAATGGATGATGGTCCATCTAAGCCAATTCAATTGTCTCGCAAGTTACGGGGTTCGAACTCAATAGCGAGTCCATCCACGGGCGTAACACTGCCTCGGATCATAGACGATCCCCGACGAGACACAAGCATTTCCCTGCTGCGCGCAGACTCGGTCAATCTGTTCCTGAGACCGGATGGGTCATGTGGTCTAATGGACCGACGGTCAGGTGGTTGATCTCTCGGCAATCAGGCCCAGACGGAGCTCCCAAAAGAGTCAACAGCATCACGTGGTGGCCCCCTCGAGGCAAAAGTCGGATAAAGGCGGACGGTTAAATTAGGGGTGGGGCCTCGATCCACCGAGGGGAATCTGGCCCGCCTGGATGTTCGCAACCTTCGCGAGGGTTGATTGAGCTATACGTGGTAATTACCGAATTTCATGTCTATTCTGAGTATTCACCCAACAATTGACGGACGCAAGAGACCCACTTCATGTAATTACATACTATTCCATCACCATGCGGTCACGTTGAAGTCTCCCTATTATCCTGCAACGGTAGAAGTAGAGTGACAAGAGCTGGCGACTTTTACCCCACTCGACTGTGATTCCCTCCCCCCTCGCTGGTCCCGATTGTTACACTTGCAAGAGTGCGGGGAGCTTCCTGCTCGGCTTATTTCATTGCCTCTTTTTTTTTTTGCCGGCTGTTGAGAACTTGAGCCACCGAGTCGAATCTCAAGTGGGCTGGAACAGCTCATCAAAAATTAATTGAACAAGGTGACAAGCAGAACCACCTCTGCTGATATTTCTGTTCCTGACTGGACCCTAATTGTACTGAATACTTATATCCTGCGTAGCTGCTCCTCCATATCTCCTCCTCTCATCTGTCTATTGACTTTCTATCTCTCTACAACCCCCTCCTCTCTTCGCGTCTCCTCTTCTACCACTCATCTGCTTGCCTCCGGCTTTTTACCTCACTCTTCCTCTCTCTCTCTCTCTCTCTCTCTCTCTCTCTCTCTCTCTCCCTCTCCCTCTCTCTCTCCCTTTCCCGCTCCCACTGCTTCGTCCATCCCACCCTCCATCACTATGACTTCAACTCAGACTTCAAAGGTAAGTGGGCTGGCTCAGCTTGCCGATCTGCGACTGACTCCCCCGCCACCACTCTGCGTGGGAGGGTGAGAGACTGGCGATGCCTAAGACACGCAACTAAGACTGACCCTCGCTTCACATAGAACCTGTCCTTTGTCCTCGAGGGCATTCACAAGGTCAAGTTCGAGGACCGTCCCGTCCCGGAACTCAAGGACCCTCACGATGTTCTGATCAATGTCAAGTACACGGGTATCTGTGGCAGTGATGTATGTACCGAATCAACCCATAGGAACTTCCCCCTTCCCCCACGAGACAGTGTGATTTGCAGAATCACACCCCCGACACGAAAAAAGAAAGAGAGAATGCAGAGAAACAGCTTCCTAATCTCTTCGTCCTTTTTTGTTCTCTTCAGGTCCACTACTGGGAACACGGCGCAATCGGCAACTTCGTCGTCAAAGAGCCCATGGTTCTCGGCCATGAATCCGCCGGTGTCATCACTCAGGTCGGATCCGCCGTGACCTCTCTGAAGGTCGGGGACCGGGTCGCCATGGAACCCGGCACCTGCTGTCGTCGCTGCGAGCCCTGCAAGAGCGGCAAGTACAACCTCTGCGAGAACATGGCCTTTGCCGCGACCCCGCCCTACGACGGCACCCTGGCCAAATACTACATCCTCCCCGAAGACTTCTGCTACAAGCTTCCCGAGTCCATGTCCCTGCAAGAAGGCGCGCTCATGGAACCCCTCAGCGTCGCCGTGCACATCGTCCGCCAGGCCCAAGTAAGCCCCGGCCAATCGGTCGTCGTCTTTGGCGCCGGCCCCGTCGGTCTCCTCTGCTGCGCCGTCGCCAAAGCTTTCGGCGCCAGCAAGGTCGTCGTCGTCGACATCCAAGAAGCCCGTCTGGACTTTGCCAAGGAGTACGTCACCCCGCTGACCTTTGTGCCGGGCAAGGTGGCCGCGACCGAGAACGCGGAGCGCATGCGTCAGGAACACGGGCTGGGCGCAGGTGCCGACGTCGCCATCGATGCCTCGGGCGCCGAACCCTCCGTGCACACGGGAATCCACGTCCTCCGCAACGGCGGCACCTACGTCCAGGGCGGTATGGGACGCAGCGAGATCCAGTTCCCCATCATGGCGGCGTGCTCCAAGGAGTTGACCCTGCGGGGAAGTTTCCGCTACGGCAGCGGTGATTACAAGTTGGCGGTGGAGCTGGTCTCTACCGGTAAAGTGAACGTGAAGAAGTTGATTACGGGGACGGTCAAGTTCGAGGAGGCGGAGAATGCGTTCAAGGACGTGAAGCAGGGTAAGGGGATCAAGACCCTGATTGCGGGAATTGATGTTTAAATGAGATTTATACCTTGATTCCCAGGACTGGAGCTGCATATGGAAGAGAAACAGAACATGCTCGAAGAAGAAGAAGGGGAAAAAAAAAAAGGCCGATATCGATATCGATGTTGACGTTGATGTTCCCGCACACAAGGAAGCAAGATACAACAAATTTAATGAAGTGCCTCCAGAAGAGACAAGGTCTGCCCGGGAAGGAAAGGGGAAGAAGACAGAACGACAAGGTACACGTAGCTTCAAACAGCCACCAGGCGACTACCATGTTCTTTGCATTCCGTCTCGAATCCAAAAGCAAGTGAAATATTGCGCCTTGACAAAAACAACGCTGGTCAGTCGAACGGCGTAGATCCAGTCGGATGCCAAGGCTCGAGAAGCAATCGGGTCATTTGAGATGGAAACCCCCGCGAGGCGAAAGGACTTTGCTCGGATATTAGGGCAGTGCCATCTAACAAGTCCATGCGTGCCTGTCTCATCTAGCATACATGCGGATCAGTGCGTTGGTAAGCGGGTATGTCAATTAGGGAGAGTCAAGCCCGGCTAATAAGCGAGGCATTTATGAATCAATGAATTATAGCGATCACGTGTCGTAGGCCACCAGACGGAGTAGGGTCAGGCCAAGGGTCGAGAGTATATATGCAAGGGCTCCGTATCAGACCAGAGCGGAGGAAAGAATCTGGAAAGAGCAAGTCGAGAACAACAAACGAGGGGTATCGTGCAATGACGGAAGTAAGCAGCAGAGAGTAAAGAAGGAGAAAAAGAGCCCCCATGACAGAATCGCCAGCGTTGAAAGGAAACGAAGAAACGAATGACAAAGAACAAGGTATAGCATGAGCAGAGGCAAAGAGGGGGGGGGGGGAAGGCGAAGCGAAGCCACGCATCGCAGACGCCAAGGCAGCCCGGAAAAATGCTCACTCTCAACAACACCCCCGATTCCTCTTTGACGAAGAACCATTTAATCGAAACACATCTTCCCACTCTCTCATTCCACCCTTCCAACTCGAAGTTGGTCTCCCCCGCCGCCTTGACGATCGATGCATCGCAATCGAATTCTCGTCGATCGTCGTCCGACTGCGAATACTCGACGCTTCACTCGCACCGTGGCCCCCTCCATACATTCCTCCATCCCCGTACTGAATCCCACTCTGCGGATCATCCGGGTCAATCTCACCCAGCTCGATCTTGGTCAAAATGATGCGCGCCAGTCGCTGAAAGACCTCTTCGACCCCGTCCCCTGTCAGAGCAGAAATCTCCACCGCAACAGGGATATTCGACTGCGCCGCCCAGCGTGCCGTATCCTCCTTGCTCACCTCCCGACCCTCCGCAAACGAAGCCGTCATCCTCGTCCCCGGCCCCAGGTAATTCGCCGTCGAGGTAGAGCGCACCGAGCCCGTCATGTCAAAGGGATACGAAGACTGTTTACTCGAGGTACTGGACGGCGTTGGCGGGGCGCGATGCGCATCGTCGTGGTAATCTGTGGAATCTGCAAGATCTGCTTTATTCCCCGCGAGCAAGACGGTCAAATTGGGAGATGCCAAGGCGCGCGCATCCATGAGAAAAGTCGGAAGTGCGGCAAAGGAGGCGTAAGAGGAGACATCGTAGACGAGGATGGCGCCAGCGGCGCCGCGATAATAGGAGCGGGAGACGGATCGAAAGCGTTCGGTCCCGGCGGTATCCCAGAGCTGCAGCTTGATGCGACGACGGCGAGAACCAGTGCCGAGTTTGACGATGCGAGAGGCGAATTCGACGCCGATGGTTTGGGATGAAAGGACGCGCCCTAAGCAGATGTGTTAGGATGTGACATGAGAGGAGAGTCCGATGAGAGCAAAGGAGCTGAGGGGGGTAGGGGGGGGGGGATTGGTGTGTTGCCCCGTACATTCATTCTTTACGAAACGATGGAGCACGCACGATCTAATTGAGGAGAGTATATCAATTAGTTTGTCTGATCGAGTCACATGGCAGGAAGCTTTACTCTGAAGACTCGACGAGGCCACAGAGTGATTGATCACTTACTTGCCTGCACCACTGGGACCAAGTAAGATCACCTTGGCTAGGTAATCATACATGCTACCCAATTCCTACACTCCAGCACTCGAGTTAACAAGACCATCTCAATTATCAAGTGAAGATATAGCGATCAACAGGCACAATCGCGAGCTGGGCTCTGAGGTTCAACGCGCATGTTTCATCAAGAGCAAGGATATATCTTCTTGGACTGGCCAAGATTGAAATGATGGACTTGGTCTATCTTAGATAGCGTCGTACCTGATCTTGGTCGGGAATGGAGGAAACGGAGGAGGAACTGGAGAGTCCTCGTGGGCGCACCATGGCATCGGGTCGGGACAGGGCCGCACTTCAGACGAACGTGCGCTGGACAAGGAGAGAAAGATGAGAGTCAAGGAAGCCCTTGCGCCAACAATGCAAGTGAAGAGGACAGTGGTAGGGTTCTTGTGAAGCGCTAACCTGCGATGGACTCTTTATCGGGGTGATTGGGAAGTGCCCGACAGCCAAAGGTGCCGACCGCCCGGGAGGTGATGGGGCCGGAAGATCGTATGTGGAGAGGAAGGAGACTCTTTGGTTGGAGTTTGTATGGAGCGGAGTAACTGGTAGAGTTTCAAATCATCACCGCTCTATCATCTCTTTTTTGGGCTGAACTTTGTAGTATGGCCTATAGAGTCATGGCTTGGCCATGAACGAGAAATTGAGAAATCATTATACACTAGAAATAAAAAGAGGAGATATCGAGGACGTGCTTATTATTCTAAAGTGCCTTAGTGCTACTGTCCGAACACTGAACCACCTTGACCGAAAGCTCACGATTTAGTTTAGAAGCGTAATTGTCCTCACTTAGGAAGTCGAGTACGTGGTATAGCGACTCCACAGTGATTGATATACCTAAATGTACTATTTAATCGTCCAGTATTCATAATCGTGAAGTCACTGGAAGTGTTCACTTATCTCAAAAGCCAGACTGCGGAATCAAGCCATGTACAGAGTAACTTTTCCTTATCGCGGCCCAAGAGGAGGTAAAAGAAGAGGTGGAAGAGGGAACCTAAGGCCTGGCTCCACTATCACTCACCGCATCAACTTTTCATATGCTTGGCGAAGGGGCTGGGGTTCATATTGTATTAATAGGTAATGGACATGGTCGGACCGTGAAATTTGTCGTGCTGTCAAATTCAAATTTTTCTAAGTATTGAACATGCACAATTTACCTCTCTATATTTTTGGCTAATATACTATGGTGGTTGCGTGGTCCTCTATGTATGAATTGAAAGTATAGTGAATGAGAGGCCCAAAAGGGAACCGAGGTACATGTAACATATCTGGTCAGGATGACCAGATCTGATAAGATATACACCGGGGTCAATTCAGTCAGCTAATTACCAACTCAGTCTTCACACGTACATTAGCCAAAAGAGGCTGGCGCAATGACATTCAAGGGTTGTTCTGCTGCGGCAGAAAGCCACCTTGTTTTCCTCATTCTTTCGGTTCGAAGTTCAAATAGTCGTTAATAGCCTCTTTTACAGGTACTGGATAATGAGGTAAAGACAATGCAAAATTGACACCGCTTGAAGATCCACTGTATTTCACTACTTAAAGAGTGATCTCGTTTAAAACGTGAGCATGGGAATGCCTGGACGAGATGGAGATCAATATATCCTATATGAAAGTCACGTGTAGAAGTGACTATATATAAACGGATGTTAGTAGCAATGTTTCGTCGTAGCTCGTGCTGGCGACTTCGTCAGGTACCTAAGGTTACATCTACGCTAACTTTAAATTTATCTCGTAGCCACTGGACAGCCGAGTATGGGATCGATCATCCACAGACCGCGCAGCTGAGACACGTGAATGGATAGAGCCAAAGGAACTGCTAAAACAGTTCAATTCTTGCGGAGAAGCCTTGAAGGTCTATAGAAGGTCACTACGAGTCACTACTCCGGATGGGCTCAAATGGCTTGGTAGCTTTCCCTCTCTAAGTGCCCGTCAAGTCCACTGGTAAGTTCATTAGCGATCTCGAAGAAGCTAATGCCCTCTCACCCATCTTGGAGTTTTGCAGGCTTTGGAATTTGGACAACTAGGCTTGTATACCTGTAGCGTGAACGAATGTATGAACTTTGCACTAGAACTCCATGTGGCCCTGTCAGATGTCTCGAATCTTATCGCTATAGGTCTAACATGCCTAATGTACCATTGAACAAGGGACCCATTCGTTGGCAGAGCCCAAGCCAGTCGAAGAATGACATGACGGATCAAGATTTCGCCAAGTTCTCCATGATGGCTATATCGTTGTTCTTGGACCCTTTGCCATCGCACGATTGATAAATATAATTTTACCGTAGTTCTCATTGTCACTGCTCACCAAGCCACATCTGGGCAGACCCTATTTTCGGACAAGCACAATATCCGTACGACCAGTCATCTTCGAAGGGTTTGAATCGAAACAACCTTCCAACTGATGTTTTTTCCAGAGATCGAGTCGATCAAGTGAAGAAAAGTCAGTGCTGTCAGATTGAATCCGCCACCGAGTTGAGAGGATGATGAGCCATGCGATCATTTCCTAGTCGGCCTTGCAGGTACACGGGTCACGGTGTGGCCTGGGATCCAGCGATCCAGCGATCTAGCGATCACGGGGTCAAAGCGGGACTTGCAAGTGCGTCAGATGCCGTCACAGCCGGGGGCCCAGTGTGTAGTTCAGCCTGGTATTGCTCACTATTGCCAGGTAGTAGGACTAGGTTGGTAGGCAGGGCGAATAGTCACGACGACTTTAGTCGGTCACTCCGATCGTATACATCACTAACTACTAGACTACTCACAAGTCACTACAATTTGATGACTTAGTACATTAGTAACTACATGAGGGCGTACATTATTACTTATTACCCATGAGGATAGTTCGGTCTTGCGCCCCAGATTGAGATCTGACTACTCAATCAGGAAACCTTCTAGAAACACGCCTAGAGCCGATCCCCGCCCGACTGCACTGATCCATTGACGTTATGCGAGGCCCTTCCCCCCACGGTACAATAGGAGTACTCGGATGAATGGTGGCGTTGCGACCAGCGATGCATCGCCCCCGTGTTCGGCAGTACGTAACTGCGTAATGATGCATGCGAAACCCCACCGGACGACAACAGGAAGAAGAGAAACCCAGAAACAGAAAAAGGTCAAGCATTTACACTGTTCAATGATCCATAGCTGAATGACTTGACATCCTGTAGACCTGTATAACTGCTATACTGCACAGTACGTGAGCCTTGTGAGGTCATTGGTTGGTCTTGACAGTTCTGGTCAGATTGACGACTGAGACTACAGACTTGCTTGAATTAAACAAGTTTCATCATGGAAATCGCATGATACTTCCCGGGTCTATAGTATGGATCTTGGTAGTATATAGTATATAGTGTAGTTATACAGTGTAATTAGTAATTACTATACCTCTTGAACAGCGGTCTCTCTAGTCTCTACAAGGTTCACATTCTTGCGTGACTTATGCTAAGCCTTTCTCGAGGCTCAGCGCTGAGCGCAATGCTCAGCGCTGAGTGACTAAGCTACTACGAGGACATGGAAGCGTTGGACTTTTGCCGCGGCTGCCCGGGCGGCGTGTACGAGTCCAGATGTAGCAGTACTTTGCTCTGGATCAGTGGATTCAGGGTCCTATTCAGGTTTAATCCACCTCTCGTATTCGCAGACCCTGGACAATGTAGCAGTACTGAACGGTCAAGTCCTCAACTCCACACGTTCCGTTCCCTTTTCGGTCTTCCCTCACATGAACTCAAAGTTCGGAAGAAAATAAAAAAACAAAGACAAAAACGGAATGTGCATCATCATAAATCACAAATTCCTCATCAGGCCCTGGGCTTGGCATGTCCGCCCTCGGACCACCGGCGAGGCGGTGTTTTCACCATTCCCGCCAATACTGTCTAACCGTTCAGTGACCCTCCGAGTCATTGCTCTGGCCCATGTTATAGTCATCCACGGCCAGTAGCCAGTCAGGGCCTCATGATGCCCATCGTGTCTCCACTGAGCCAGAGTGCACAAGCTTCCAAAGCCTCAAGGCTGACTTGGAGCCGTGTGCCGCTCAGCGAGGAGGGTCTGCTTCAGTGCTTTGTCTCCGCGCCCCTGGTGGGAACGAATCGGGGGGAGACTCGTATATAGTGGGAATGTTCACCTCCCGTACTTCCCGCGCCATCTTCCTGTCTTAGCATCCTCAACACCACTGATCTCATATTTCTTTGCTTACCCACGCGACTTCTTATCCAAAAGATCAGGATACAATTGGTCTGACCACAGCGCGCATCTCTATCGTCTGACTTGCGACTTGCGACAACCAACTTCTCAGATCTGTACGCCACCAACGACCCTCACGCAGTCCACGACATAAATTTTCTTGACATCACGTCATCATGAAGTTCTCTTGGGTCACAGCCCTTTTGCTGCTGGGCTCACAAGGAGTCACCTCTCTCTCTATCCCCTCTGCCAATACCGATCTGATCGAACACGGCCTACTGGACACACCTTCAAGTTCCCACCAAGTCTCTGATCTTGAGAAACGACGAGGCGGTGGTGGTGGAAGGGGAGGCGGTGGCGGTTCCAGCGGAGGAAGCAGTGGAGGTCGATCGGGCAGTTCGAGCGGTGGCTCCAGCGGCTCTTCATCGGGCAGTCGAGGAGGTTCTGCGAGCGGCGGTTCTCGGGCAAGTCCATCGTACGGCGGTGGAAGGTACGATCCTCATTCCCAAGCTTTCAGCTCTCATATGCTTCCTTGCCCTCACAAGCTTGTTTATGCCTCGACGCACATGCTGATTTGATGACAGATATTACGCGGGAGGAGCCACAAAACCCTACTCAGCCGGCGCTGCATCGCCCGGGTCAAGAATCTCCCCGGCTTTCTTGCCTCTCGGGGCTTTGGCCATCTTCCCTGGAATCTGGCTCGCGGGCGCCTATGCCTATTCATACCCTCACCCCTACTACTACAATCACAACGGCCGCAACGACTCCCTGCCAGTGGAGTGTCTTTGCGAGAAGAATCGCGAGTGTGGCTGCGACGACAATAATAATCAGACCTACTATCAAGATCTGTTCAACGGCACGGAGCCCAAGAATGGCAGCAATGTGCGAGTCGCCGATGTAAATGGCACCAAGACCGTCTTGATCAACGGTACCGTGCCCTATGGAACGACCTCGGGGGCGAACCCAGGACCAATGGTCGGTCTCATCAACGCCAGTGGATACTGGGTAACCGTGGCTGTTGTGATTGCAGCAGTGTGGACATTCTAATTGAATTGTCAAAGTTCACGACGACGCCTGCGTCTTGATATGTGAAATGAACGAAGTGCGCCCGAGAGTCGCATTCAACTACCAACGCTGGCATGATCGGAGAGAGGGGGAGCTGCTTGTATTATATAATTGCTCGCCTGGTACAATCCAGCTACCGTTGCTAATTCTGGCTGCTTATTGACTGATGCTGGGTGGAAACTTGGGAGTTCTTTCCAAAGAGCACCCGTTGGTTCTCCACTACTGTCTCTTGACACTGGCCCCCACCGCTAGAGTCTCGACTCCGTCCGAAACGACTTGATGAATGGAACTGTGCATTGCCCGCTATGCGACAGCTGTCTGACATTGATGAAACGGCCGGTCGCTGATTATTTTCTCACGTCTTTTGTTTCACGGTTGCTATGGGGAGGTGGCTTTTATCGCAGTCTTGTCTTCTTCCTGCCAAGGTTGATACTGACGCTTGATTTTTCCCCCTTGGATATGACCATTGATACCCACTCTTTTTCTGCCGCTCTTCATTGTGACCTCAGACAGCATTGAGAATTTATACTCCTCTTTTCTAATTGCAATTTTCGCTAGAATTGCGACGCTTATCCCGATAAACTATGAGGTTGTGAGGATAAGGCGGTTTTGATCTCCGTTGATATCATGCTGTACTCATTCCGCGCTCTGTAGCCACCCACTCTATATTATTCAATCTTCATTGCTGTCATTCCACATTCCAGATCACCCCTTCCACCTGAGACCCTTTCTCACCCTCCAACAACAAAACTAATCAAAAGACTCCATTCGGATCGGGCCTGGATTGTTTGACGTGGCCTAATCGGGACTAGTGGGGGCTACACATGGGGCCCCTTCATTTCCGCGTCTCTCGTCAGGTACACAAATCAGCCCTCCGGCTCCACTTCCTCGTGTCTCCCTCCCTACTACTTCTTCACCTTCCACTCGTTTCGCAACAGGCCGTTCTTTGCTCCCTCACCTCTTCCTGTCCGTCCTGGCAAGCCAGTGTTCATTCATTCATTTCTCTTCAAAAGACCACCCGTCGTTCTCTTCAAACTCGATTTGCCCGGTTGCATTCACTATCTTTCACCCTCCAAACAACAAGTCAAACCGCTCTCGCTTAGTCCCCAAACAAAACAAAACAACAACACTCTTGAACCCGCTGATATCATCGATTCCATCACAATGCACTTCACCAAGTCTTTGATCGTCCTTGCTGCGGCTCTCATGCCCTCGGCCTTTGCTGCACTGCAGGCCGCCGAACCCACTGCCTCGGTCACCAGCACCATCACCCTCGTGCCCTCCGGTTACACCTCCACCTCGTCGACCTCATCTACCCCCATCTCGACCTCAACCTCTATCTCTACCACCTCGTTTTCGTCGTCCACCTCGACGTCCATTTCCAGTTCTACTTCTACCTCCTCCGTGCCTGCTTGGACCCCCAAGCCCACCGGCACTGCCCGTGGCTCGAGCTCCTCTTTGGTCCGCGTGCCTACCTCGACCCCTCTGATCAAGAGCACCTCGACTTATGTCGAGACCAACACTGCCGGAGCGACTAGTGCTGCATCGGCGACTCCCACCCACAACAGCGCTTCGATGCGCCAGGTCTCGGGCGGTCTGGCTGCTGGTGTCGTCGCCGTTGCTGGTATGCTCATGGTTTAGAGCGGTTGATGCGAAGAACCTGAACAAAGCCTGCAGTGAAACATTCCTCTTCATCCTCCAAGAAGAAGAAGATTGATGATCACTGCTTTCTCTCGTGTGAGCATTCACTTTTGCTCCGAGGGTGAAGAGGCCAGCGCACGCCATTCTCTTAGCAAAATTTAGAGTACCTCTCGACTTATTTGGGCCTTGGGGGGTATTCACAGCGCAGCCGAGCTGCTGCCGCTCTTGATTTCCCACTCTTCGTCTTGATTGACGTGGGGTTGTGTGAGGAGCACCTTGATTATTTTCTTCCTATTCGAATTAGGAACTGTGTGCTTTCCCTCCATTTTTGAGTATACCACCAGGTCCTTTCTGGGTTGATCCTATCGTATATATTTCTTTTCTTACCCTTTCTTTCTTTTCCCATCTTTTGCATCGTGATTGATCTCCTCTTTCACTGTGTTACATTCTTCGATATTTATCTACTCAAATTGCTCGATACTACTTTACCCCCGGATTTTTTAGTCCCTATCTGATGTATCTGTTCCTGGATCATCGTCCATGACTATTGGTTATACTTCTTTTCCCCTTTCCTTGGCCGTCTTTTCCAATACCCATCTGTTTTTTTCTTATTTTAAATGTGATTCTTTCCCTTGGGGATGTACTTATAACCATCTATGCGCCGGGGCAGAAGTCCTGTGGTATTCGGTTTCTCAAGTTCATAAGAAAATCGACTAGATTACTGCACGTAGGTGTCTAGACAGAAGACTCCAGCTCGAGCACTACTCGTATTGGGTTACTACTGGACCACTCACCACTGATACTTGCAGATACAAGCCATACCTGCGATATCATCATACATACATCGATACGTCCTGATCCTCGTCTCATTGTCATTGTCATTGTCATTGCCATTGTCATCAGTTATGATCATAATCATACTCGTTCATAAATCATATCGTACTCCCTCTCAAGCCTTTTCAAAATCATCTCGTACCGTACCTGAAACCCTCCACCTCCATTTCCATGCATCTGTCTATGAATTCTGGCACTCAGCAGTCAAGTCCGTTCTAGCCCGGTAGTTTCCCCAATCGGCCATTTCCAATCTGCGTTTCCGATCTTTCCAGAAGAAAGCCCATCATGAATCGAAATATCTCGACAGAACTCAAGTCATCAATGACATGCAATCAATGGCCAAGTCCTTCGCTCTTTCCGCGTCAACGTTCAGCTCAACGCTCAACGCTCAACACTCAACGTCCTCAATGATGTTTATGCTGCATCTGGACGACGGTTGTCCAGCCCTGACAACATGATGTTTTCAGTTCATGGCCGCACCAGGGACAGGTCAGTGCTCCGAAGACGGGGCTGTGGGAAGGTGTTTTGTTGGTGTGGGTGTGGATATTCTTGTTGTTCTCTGTGGTTTTGGATTGACCCTTGGAGTCTGGTTTGTCTTTGGGATTTGAAGTGGTATCGTTTGGCGCTGGTGTGAATGCTAGTGTCGGGTGTTTTCTTGTATTGGGGGTTTTCACCAATGTGCGTCGATTCGAGACGTTATGTTGGGATGGTGAGTGAGGTAGTGAGGGGGCAGGTCGGGAGTAAGTCTGGGCTTGAGATTGGGATTGGGTTTGTGATCTAGGTTCGGGATGTTCAACAATGTGGAATCGTTCCGGACAGGTGAGTTGGGCGTAGAGTTCAGCAGGAAGATCGTGCCAATGATTACAACCGCAGCAGATGACGAAGAGTTTGGCGACGAGTTGGTCTTTGATATAGATGGTGGGGTGGGATTGATTTGATTGGGAGAGAGAGGTGCGGCGGAGTTTGGTGATGAAGCCGTTGCGGGACAGCGGAGGAGGAGGGGGAGGGAGAAGGTGGACAGTCGGGTTTGATGGATGTGGTGGTGATGGTGATGTTGACCTTAGACTGGGGTCTTGCAAGGAAATGTCTTTGCTTCTGAGTTTTGTTCGGCGACCGATCTGCTCCGTGGTGGATGAATTGGGTAAGGCGAAAGCATTGCTGTCAATGTCATCATGGTTTAGATTGCAAATCACTTCAGCAGACTCTGCCTTTGCCGCCGAGATCAGTTGATGATCTCCTTGAGATACAGGAGACATCGACACGTCGAGGACCTGTTCATCTGCCGTATCATAACTTGATCCCTCCGATGATGCTCGACTGAAGCGATGGTTGCCAAGCACGTTAGGCGTGGATTTACTAGCAGACGTTTCAGCCAGCGAATGACCTGCGTGAGACACTGCCTGCTCTGAGTGAGTAGCCGCCGGTACCTCCTCCGGAGCAGTCATAGCTGACACTTTGCTATCGAGACTGAGTCGGCCATACGGAGAGTTCTCTGCAAGCGCGTACTTGCGTCCTGGATGCTTGAGTGGTACCTGTATAGGTGAGGGGGGTGTCGACTGAGCAGACGCAGGACGTCTCTTGTTAACGTCTTGTAGATGCGAGATGTGATCCTGCCTTTGGCCACTGATTACCCCAGAAGATACTTCTGCCAGGCCCGTGGAAGGTGCTGAAATAGCCAGTGTCGTCTGACGGTCTGCGCGAGACCGCGATGGTGATTGATCTCCCCGCCAAGCCGTGAATGCAGGACTTGACACCTGACGGTTGTGACTGCGAGAGCCTTCGGAGCTGATGCGCAGTGGTTGCGGGATGAGCTCGTAGGATTGCTTTTGACCTATCGAAGCCTTGAGTGACTTGCGCATCTCCTCTGCCTTTCCGTCTTCTTCATGTCCCGTCGTGAGTGGATTCATAGCTAGTGGTGACGATTTGTAACCCTTTTGTTGCGGCTGAAGACTGCCTTCAGAGTCATGCTTTTGCATCATAGGTTTGCTGTGTTTTCCATCTTGACCAAGAGGAATGTAAGAGTACACTTTTGTCTGCGATCCTCCTTTGGCCTGTCCATGTCCGGAGTTGTAGATCATGCGTGTCGAATTACCCGGATTTCCGCGAGCTCCAGTTGACTGCAGCGAGCTGGAGCTCTGCGTATTCACCGGCAAGGCCGGCCGCAGAGAAGATGGGATATCACGGGGGGAAGGCTCCTCGGGCTTGATATCCTGTCTGAGAGTCGCCGTGAATCGCATGCGATCCAGTTCCGCCCAGACATTAGTGGACAAGCCAATGTTTGAGCTCGGTTGACTCATGTATTTCGGTACCGCACGGTTTCGCAAGGCCGATTGTTCGATGGCGGAACGCGGACGCGCACTCGCCAACTCTTCGCTTGCAAAATCGTGATTCTGTCGCTGCCAGGCCTCTGCCATCCTCCAATTCTCCCGCAAATCATCAGACTTGGTGGCCGAGTGGTGTAGAAGATGTGAGGATCGAGACAGCTGATGACTGGTCATCAAGGACGTGCCATGTCTCGAGGCCAGCTCGCGTGAGACAGCCGTTCCAAAGCGCTCCGGCAGCGCAAGTGGGAGGGTGGGCGGTCCCCGGGGTCCAGCGCCCTCGTCGTCGGTCGATTGATGTCCATTTTCCGAGTTTGCTCGTGAGCGGGATGAACGACGCGACGAAGAGAAGAACGAGGTGAACGATCTTGAGGATCGCGGCCTATCGGACTCGGTACTCGTGGACCTCTTCCCACTTTGGATGGGTTGCTTTTTGGTCAACCGACGAGATTTACGCTCCTGCTCTTTTTTCTCGTGTTTGGCTTGCGACTCTTCCAATTTGCGCAGTCGCTTTTCCAACTCCTTTCGCTCGGCTTCCAGTCGCTTGGTGGCGCGTCTCTCCTTTCGCGACGTCTTTTTCCATGTTGGTGATGAGCATATCTCCTCTTTTTCTTTTGCTTTTTCTGTTGCTTTTTCATGTTCTTGCTCTCGAGGCAGACAATTGTCGGTAATAGACACAGGTCGTGGAGTCGAGGTCTGCTCGTCCTGTAAAGACGCTGCTGGCACGGAGAGACTTGACTGGGGCGTGCTTACTGATGGCAATTGAGACGTCCGCGGCGAATACGTCTGTGTGCTGGAATAGGAATCTCCCAGTAGCGTATCACTGACGCCAAAGTTCGTATGAGCAGAACTGTCTCTCTGACTTGGAAGCTCGCCTCTCTTGGGCTGAAGCTCAGGCTGCGTCAGTGCCTGAGCGGTTGTCGCAGACGGCGCCGATTGGTGGTTGCTCTCAAGTCCTTGAGCATCATCTCCTGGAGAGTAACTCTGTCGCCTCTGAATTCCAAGTGTAAGCCTTGCAGCCGCTTAGCTAGATTTGAGTTCGCTAGATCACAATGATGCGTACCTTTTCAGCGCGATCCCCATGCAAGACCCGTTGAAATCGCTCCGAGATGGAGGGTTTGCGCCGACGGCGGGGCTCGGGCTGAACCTGAGGATCCGACATGGTGAGTTAATGGAAAGACACCCGCCGTAGGTCAGTCGTCTCAGTTCTGCAGTATTTTGACTTGGAAAAAATGAATTCGACAATCCCATTCAGAATGGTGATGATCCACAGACGAAGATGTGTTGTGGGTTGTGTGCTTGGGTTGCGAGGTCGAAGGAGTGTGTTAGCAGGTCACACACACACACACTCTCTCTCTGTTCGGCAAGTCGAACGTAACCAAGACAAGGTTTTTTGACTGGGCTGAGGTGATCCCAATTCATCATCGATCGCTTCATATTTTCATCTTTCCATCTTTTCACCGTCCCTCATTTGGCTGTTTCGTGTTTCTTCTCCTTCTTTCTCCCCTCTCTCTGTCAATTGAAACGCTTGCATCCACAATTGAACCGTCCGAGTGCAAAGTCGACCAGCAAAGACAGGAGAGAAAGAAGAAGCAAAACGAGCAGAAGAAGAGAAAAAAATGTTGAGATTTCAGTTCCAGCCGCACAACGATCAGGGATCGACGATTCATGGATTTTGCTTTTTTCTTTCCTCTTTCGATATGTACCTTTTCCATTTGATTCCTTACTGTGCATCCAGTCCGATAACCGGGCTGGCATCGATCTGAGACCTGCAGCCTCCCCAGCCTTCCGGACTGGACGTGGATGATCTGCTGGCTATTTTTGGGCGAGACCACAGTCACCACACTAGACTACTGATCGACACATAATAAGCTTTGACGTCGTGAACGCCGAAGACCAGAGAGAAGACTCCCTGCGCCCGTCAAGCTCAATTCAACAACGCGTGAGTCGGGCGCAACACGCGAGATCCAGAGGGATCACATACATACATGATCCGAGTACAAATGCTTGGTCCTGCCGGCAATTCTCAACACGGTCGACCTGCAGCCACCCAGCCTGTGCCTCCAAAGCTGGTCGCTTTGCCATGACAGACGTGGCTGACTCGGCAGCCCATTTTTCCCTGCTGTACTGCCAGGCTTGTTGAATTGCAAAGGAAAGGCTGAAAAGCTCAACGGGTCGTCCGTTCGCCAACGACGCGAATTTGATCGAGCCATCTTGTTCCACCTCAAAAAGACCTTTCGCATGATGAAGAATTGTCCCTTGTGAATGATCAAACCTTCTCTTATTCTGGAAGACTGCTATATGCCAGGCTTCCAGTACATCTCTCTCCCTGTCTCCCTGTTATGGTGAGTTTGGCGACCGTTATTGCATTCTATACTGGAAAGTGGAAACCCAAATTCACGGACTCGAAACCTAATCTTTTGGCTCGCTAAACCTTACATGGATAGTTCCGGAATCCATATTTTCCTCCAGATTTGCATAGTAACAACGACCAAAGGTATAATCTTCAGTATCCCGTTACATGTTTAAGATCAGCCGCGTTCCAGGATTCCCACCAGGAACTCTTGGATCTCGTTTCCCGACCCCTTCGCCAACGGTATAACTCCTCAGACGATAATTCTGAAAGACAAGCCATTGATCTGTACCAAGGCGGAGCAAAAGGTCTCGATCACAAATCATCGTCTTCTTTGGAAAAGAAAATTCATCGGGCGTCGCCATTTCCGGCCTCCGAGTTTTGAATCCGGCATCATCTCACTCTCGTGCGTATGAGCTAGCGGGGGAGTAGAAGCGTCTGTTGAAGCTGGTTTGCTGTTGGTCTCCCAGCTAAGAAGAATATTGAATAATTGGGCGGTGTCTGCGTGATGCGAACCTAATGCTTTGTTGGAGAGGTCCACACAGTCCTTGAGAAGGATGGATGCGTCAGAAGTCCTCCCTAGTTTTCTCCAAGTACACGCAAGATTGCGCATACTGGTCAAGGTCCAAGGATGCTCTGGCCCTGGCATCCGTTTCCGCGCTCCAAGCAGCTGCACAGCAAGCTCTTCCGCTTCGACGAAGCGTCCCTGGTCAAATAACATGCTTGCCAGAATAGCCATGCTGTTGAGAGTCCGGGGATGCTCAGGACCAAAGACCTTCTCTGACCCCGAAAGTGATCGTCTGTGCATGGTCTCTACTTCCTTATACTTGCTCTGGTGTGCAAGGATTGAACCAAAATCATTGATACGAATAAGAGTATGAGGATGCTCAGGACCAAGGACCTTCTCTGACCCTAACAGTGCCCGTCGGTGTATGGCCTCTGCTTCCTCATAATTGCCCTGTCGTTCAAGGCATAAACCAAGGTTTCTGATACTAGCAAGAGTATCAGCATGCTCCGGTCCGCAAAATCTTTCCTGAGTTGAAAGGACGTTTCGGAACACAGATCCTGCCTCGGCATATCTGCCATCCCTTCGCAAGCACCTTCCTATCCTGGCCAGGAAGTTGTCATAATCATGCTGGCGTTCCTGGAATTCTGCGCTGTCTGCCAGATACAATGCATGAGGCAGGTAGTTCCTCCATGTTTGTCGATTGCAATGGTCTTCATCAGGGAAAACCGTGCTCAGTCGGTCAGCAGTTGTCCCTACCCAGCTCGTAAATGTCCCGTATTTCCTAAGCCAATTTCAAGTAGCAAGATGGAAAAGTTGGTGAAGACTCAACATGCTATTCTCAACCTGTGCGCTGACAAAAGAGCATGCTTTGAGAAGACCCAATGCTTCCACTCTTGCCTTCGCTGACTCCGTATGTGGAAGAATGGACTCTGGTATCTCCCGATGACTAATGCAGGCCATGAATGACAAAAAGTCGCTTGCAATTTTATCCCGTTGCTGAATCTGCACAAAGGAGATCGGCCAGGTTGCGGCCACGGCATGCTGACTCGCTTCGTAGCGTCCGTCGTCATCAAACTCCTCGCTGAGCAGTTCTATGCTCGCCCCTTCTTGTTCGCCCAGCAGTGACATGTATGTTGCTAAGGAAATATCATTTCGATTGATGTAAGCCGCGGCTTGGCTGATTGCCAACGGGAGACAAGAAAGCATCTCAAGGAGCGTATTTGTCTCATAATCGTCCCGTAACAGATCCTTGCAAATCAGCAAGTTCATCAAAATTTCCTTGCCAGCCTTCTGATCCACATGGGGGATAGAGACCACGTTTGATGGTGCAAGCTTCAATGCAAGCTGTCGATTGCGGGAGGTGAAGAGAACACGACCATTGTCACTTTGAGGGATGATATTCTTGAGCCGTGGTGCAGTGGAGCTTCCCTGAATCTCCATCCACATGTCCTTGTCATCTGCGTTGTCGAAGATCAGGATCCACTTTTTGTTGGACTGGCTGAAGTGAGCCCGGAGACACTCCTTCACCTTTGTTGGCTGCACTTCACGGAGCCCCAATACTTGTGCTATGGTCACGAAAGCCTGTTCAACAGCCTCGAAGCTGGTGCACGGGATCCAGAAGATCGAACATTCAGGGTCTCGATGTCGCATGCAATAAGCTATCTCCAGCGCGATTTGAGTCTTTCCCACGCCGCCCAGTCCGGTGATGGCAAGCTTTCTCGGTCCATCTGGCATAGTAATCGAATCCTCTATCATCTGGATTTCCTGCTGGCGGCCCACGAAATATGGATTCTTTGCAAAGGGAATTATCACATGGTAATTTCCGCTCGCGTCTGATCAAAAGAATAGATTCTTAGCATCAGCAGAACTATGAGGAGACCTTTGACTAACCTCTATGGTCTGCCGGCCTCCAGTACTCCAGAAAAGTCTTTGCCACTGACGCTCCAGTCGCTGCCGCATATTCCTGCCACACCTTGTTTTTGTGACTGTCGGCATAGTCACATACGCCCTTGATAATGATACACGGGACATGATCCCAGACTCCTGCCCCCTCCATCTCAAAACCAAGAACCTTTTCTGTACTGGCAATCTCATCCCGATGCTGTCCAGACTTCATAACCGTGTCAGCGGATGCAACTGGTCCGATGTAGATGGAGACCGGGTAAGGTTCTGAGGCCTCTCGACCTCGGATTTCATGATCCTTTGTCGCAATCAAGGTCATTGCAATCCTTCCCTAAAGCCTCCTCGCAGATATGGTCAGGCGAGTCACTTCCAAAACAGGTGCGGCATCCATCAGCAAAAGTCTTGCTATGATGCTGATGAAGATAGCGGGCCTTGAAAAGAATATCATAGGCTCCCGGATGACAGCATCTGGTTCCTGTTTGTTGAAGGCAGTGGAGATGGTGTTGCGCCTGGTTTTCAAGTTCACTGCGGGTTTTTTCCGCGCGAAGGTCATTGAGAAGAGCCCGGATCTCTCGATCTGGCCTGCCCAGTGTGTCTTTGGCCGCAGTCTTTCGTTTTAAACCACCAGGGTATTGTCTGCCAAAGTCATATTCAATCACCGAATCACTGATAATCACATCACCAAGATATATCTCTTGATACTTTGGTGGTGATGGGGCGCCCCCGCAGATCCCAACGACGAGAGCAAGCCTGACGCCCGGGTAGCTGATGAGCAGGCTAGACGCAACACCTGCCGCACTTCCCTTGCCCATGCCAGGCATATAGCACAGGACCACATCGTGCTTGCCAATCCGTCCATTTACGTATGTGTTGGCATCGCCTCGTTCTTTGCCGTAGTGTTTCCCGAGTCGATCATAGGTCTCATCGAACAAAGCCTCGACCGCATCCGCCTCAAAAACGAGAGCGCAGATAATTGCGATCGCAAAGTCGTCGCGCCTTCTCGGTCGCATCTCGCAGCACGGGTCTTGACGGGGTTCACAATCGAGATCTCAGTAGACTTTGGTATGTCAACATCGATAAAAAAGGCCGGGAGATAGAGGGTAAGAACAGCTGAAGTCGTAGGGAAGCTGAGGCGGTTGGGTTCATAGCCTCACAATCTCTACTGCCCGAATCCTAGGGCTGCAATAGCCGCCCGGAAGAGGCAGCGCATATGCTGACACTGCCTCATTATACCGAATGAGCCAACGACCGATAGTTTTATATTCTTTCAAATGACATAAGTTGATGATCAGGACATCACAATGGCGATTGTGGTCCGCTGTGGAAATATGTTGTTGTTTCCTATGAGGTCTCGGGTGGTGGTATAGTACTGTTTGATGGGTTTGCACATAGGCTCCTAGTCAAGTGACTCAAGTCTGCCTCTCAGCGCTTCGTTCTCACACAGAAAGATACTACTATGGTCTATAAATTCAACCTCGTCCGACCAAGGAAGGCAATAATGGTTGCCAACTTGGCAGTGTACGGTCTTGTGGAGATGAACCACGCAGCTCGTTGATTTACCCGTTCGACGAGCCATGGCTTTGCCTACCCGCACAGCCCCGCTGGCCCTGAGGTGTCACGTCTCACAGCCTCCAAGACCCGACTGGCGAGGCTAAGACCGAAGAGCAGAGCGGTTGAAGAGCTGCTCTCCTCAACTTCCTTTCTGCTCTTTCGTGAGATCGCTGTTTGTCTTGGGACTCTCAAAAATCCCGGCTACCAACTTTAAGGAACTCTCGTTCGAGACCACTTTTCCAGTCATCGACTGTGTCGTAACCCGCAGACAACTTCTCGGCAACTATGGCGCAACCACCGGGCTATCATCATACTAACCCCTTCACAAATGACGACCAAAGTATTCCCCCACCAAGCTATGATGCCGCAACGTCATCAGCGCCTAGGGGACCACCTGCACCCACCACCATCCCACCGCAGTCTTTCCAGCATTCAGCCTCAGCGCCGAGTGACCCTCCACCCTACCACAACTGGCAAGAGGCCGTCCCTGATACATCAGTCTTTCCACCACCCCCAATCTCCGGCTACTACAGCTCCGGCACCGGGAATGCCTCCAGCGACGATGCGCAGCGCGCCCATGACTTTTGCGACCACACTCCGCTGTGGCTGCCCGTCGTGCCGTCGAACCCCGTCTACCAGGCGGTTGCCCAGCATGATCTGCGACCCGTCCAGCAGCGGGAATACGCTGGCCAACTCACGCACACGGCCCCAGGCTACTGGTTTGGTCGGACGGCCGATCGCAATGGTGACTGCTGCGTCCTGACCCATCTACCCTTGTACTTTGCCGCTCAGGATTCTCCCTTCCTCACCGAGAAAGCAAAGACGATCTACTTTGAGATCAAGTTGTTCGCCCTTCGCGCCGGTCCCGGCGGTGACGCCAGCGGCTTGTCGCTGGGCTTTGCTGCGCAGCCCTATCCCTCGTGGCGCTCGCCGGGCTGGGAGCGTGGTAGTCTGGGTGTCTTTTCCGATGACGGCTGTCGCTTTGTGAATGACTCCTGGGGCGGACGAGACTTTACGGCCCCATTTCGTGTCGGCGAGACCCTGGGCATCGGCATGACCCTCTCACTACCCAAGGATCCACTCGCGATGGCGGATGCAATGTTTGGCACGAAGCGAAAGTGCGTGGTGGAAGTGTTCTTTACCCGAGACGGTCGCCCAGCTGGCGGATGGAACTTGCACGAGGAGGTGGACGCTGATGCCGGCGGGGTGGAGGGGTTAGAAGGAGATTTCGACCTCTATGGAGCCATAGGACTTTTTGGAGGAGTCGATTTTCAGGCATGCTTTGATCCTGCTGGATGGCGATGGAGACCGACCGAGTGAGTTGAGTGGAGATGCTCGCAGATGAGGCGGTTGCCGGCAGCATTACACGATTCCTTGTAGGGGGTGAGTTCGTGGTGGTGGATTGCTGAGTGTCTGCTCATAATTGATGTGCTCTGTTCTTGGACACTTTGGCTCTCAGAGACAGATCAAGCGGGGAAAGAAACGTTGATCCATCTGTCATGTACTACTAGTCAGAAGCGGAACAAAGATGAGATAACAGTCAAGTAGAAGAAAAGAAGAAGTAGGGGGAAGCCACTGGACTAAATAATTCCCCTTAGTCCGCTCACTTCGTCCGACATCAAAATGTGATATGTCAAGCCAATCCCCCCAGTAAAACAAGGTTGAGGCTCAAAACTTCGGCATTTCAGAAAATGATAGCTCACTTTGCGGAGGCCATGCTTGCTTTTTCTTTGCCCCGTTTTTCTCCCACAGTGACAGGCATAGGTTTCGATCCGGTATTTATGTATAGATTTTGGATTTCTATTAAAGATATAAGGAGAAGTCGGGATTTAGCGAGTCCATTAATGATGAGATAATGCTTGAGAGAGCTCCAAGATGTGAGTGTGTTATAGTAGGTAGTTTAATTGATCGCTTGTACCGACATCCTCGCTCTGCGAAACTACATTATCCGATCAAGTAAGATTAGAATGCATGTACCTAGACCCGTAGGGGTTCCACGTACAGTCCGTGCTCCCAGACCCCAGATACATATGCGTCATCCCATGAAGCGTGCCTCTTTACTGAACTGGGTGAGTCTCAGCTACTAATTGTTCGAATCACACCCATTCAGCTGGTCACATCCGCTGTAGTTGGCCTTTTTTTGCTTAGGTCTGGACTTGAGATACTCCAGTAACTTACATGAAGTTTAGCGGCCTTTCAGAGACAAGCAGAATTCAAGTTTTAAATGTCGATATTTATACAATTTCCAGCACGGCAATATCAAATTAGTATAAACATAGCAGTTGGAAAATGGTCATATTACCTTACCTCTAAGACAAAAGCCAACATCACCACCCGCGCCATACTATATGGTCCAGATTCATCTTCATATCTCCCTTTTTTTCGCCCAGTTTATTTCATTACGGATGCCCCGCCATTTTCCTCGTCGGCCGTCCCTCGTGCGAAAATCTACAACCTTGAACGCACACTTTTGTTGTTGCATACAAATTTCCCAAAGGGTCATCCTGCATGATACATTTACCGGTAGCTTCAAGCCCCGAATCTACCTAGACCCTCCAGCCTCGATCGTGCATTTGCATGTGCATCTGCATTTCGCAGGGTACATACGAGCGTGACTACCAGTCAGATGTTGCAAGGACTTGAGCAAGAAAATCTTCGGTGGAATTCTCGGCTCGGAATAGAGGGGAAGGAGAGACACTGTAGATGTGAAAGCTATCTTGAAGTACAATACCTACTCCTCTTATGTAGTACCGACCATAGCGTCTATGTCCCTCGCTGTCGATCGTCAACCCCAGCCTTCAGATTACCTTAATAGGCCCGAGCTGGAGGTCCCCGACAGGAGTTGGAAAATGAGTACAGGTAATTAGATCATCTCCACTTCGACTCTTCGCATGTCTAATCCTAGGTAATTTCTCGCGCGCATTAGCGGCAACGGGGGGAATTGTACAAGATGCTTCCGGTGGAAGAAAGCAGATCTCACTGCATCATTACTGCCAGCAGTAGGAGCAACTAGTAGTAGCAGCAGCAGCAGCACCTACACGGAAATATGTGGCAGGTACAGTGGGGGCTTGTCCATAGATACGTAACTTTTTTTTTCCTTTGCGCTGATGTGCTTCAAATTTCGGCGACTGCTGTTCTTTGGTGGTACAATAGGACGAAGATACCGAGTCAGGTAGTAGGTACCTAGGTCCTAGAGAGTTAGCGAGCAGGACTTTTCGTGAGTGCAAGCCTCATCCACGTAGTACCAAACTCATTCATACTAGAACTTTCAACTTAGTCGCGAGCCCCGCTTTCGAGGTGCCATTCAGTTGACAGGTACTTTGTGGCACAAGGTTCTAGAAGACTGGCAGATTATATCCACCCAGACGAGGCACATAATCCCGCGAGGCAAGACTGCTCCTATATAGACAGATCGAGAGAAGGAAACCCCCGTGAAACCCTACTCCTCTCAAACATCGATCAAGAAATTCACGACACCACATCACCTCACAAATTTTCTCTTTCATACTATTAATTCAAGCCAAAACTAACCGCAGCCTCTAGAGCAACTAATTAGTACCAGTCCAACGAAAACTCCACGACGCACCGTTCTCACATTACCCTTCTTTACCTGGTGATCGCTCACGGGGCAAAGTACTCCATTCGGATCATGGTACAGTATAGCTCCGCGGAGATTCGGCCGCAGCCTCGAAAGCTCACTGTACAGCCAGCAGAAGTACCGCACTGGGATCATGAATGTCGGCTGTTGATCGCTAATCAGGGGTGTCTAGCAGTGGGTGCAGGGAAGGGAGAAATGGAGAGCAGAAGGCGGATTTACTTCCCTCCTGTGCGAATGGACTACAGCAGATGAGCAGATACGTCAAACAACGGTACCTTAGTTAAGGGTACTTCAGTCCCGGCGTAGAAAGGGCACCGGCACTAAGAGAATTATTCAAATCAGTTGATGCCCCCCGGCTTGTACTTGACCCCGGTCTACGATGTTTCCTGACGTCACGATTGGAGTTCGATTTCCCATTTCTCATTTCTCATTTCTCATCACTCGCTCCTTCTTGTATCTGACGACGATCTCAGATGTCAAGTACGACTTACATGTACAGTGCGTAAGTGGGCGCTCTTCTTCCTAGAGCTGGGTACTTCTTTGTGTGCGTCAGATCCAGGTCTGCGTAGATATTCAAATGGTCTATCTATGTCATCATTTCTTGGTCATAGAGTAAGACATGAAGATCTGCGAATATTAAACACCCAAAGTACCAGCCCAGTGCAGACGGGTGTCCGGATCTATGTACCTATTATGCTGTGGGTCCACAAGGTTGATGAGGACGAAAAGGACTGAGGTTGTATTGTTGAGTATGGACACAGACGGGATCAAACCTACTGAGTTTCGAGGGCAAGATCGCCCGTCTTGTCGATCTCCAAAGTAGAAGAGACAAACTAACCTCTGTCCGCCACGAAGCTCTACTTCCATCCTCAATAAGCAAGGCCACCGGCAAAATCCCTGTCATACTAAAGACGCAAATGACACGAGAAGAATCTAAACATTCAAACACGGGTTAAAAACGAAAAGGTAAAAAAATAAACTCAGAAACAAGGTACATCATTGTACATTGTACGTTGTAGTACCTTGTACTCACCATCTTGCCGCGCTGGAAGCAAGTCCGCATATGCGCCGCGACGCACCCCTCTCAATGCGGTGGCAGCGAAGCGCGATCAGACAATACCGACGCGGTTGAACCGGCACGATGGGCCTGTTCGGGTTACGTTAATACCCTTGTGAGGAAGGGTTTCAGCGCGCTCGGTCCGGGCTTTATGTGCTTATTCGCAGGGTCAAGAAAAGTACGATGGCTCTTTGGGGGGGGGGGGGGGGAAGAACTGGGTCTTCATTGGCTTATGAGAGAACCGGGAGATATTCGGCTGCAAGTGCCAGCTTCCGAGTGTCTCGTCGGTGGAACTACAGTAGGTGAGGCAGTAGTGTATTCTGTTGGAGATCGAATACGGCAATAAAGCGAGTGTGAGGGTGCTGGGGCTCTGAGGAGTACGAATTGTGCGATTGGCGATATGATCTGTGAACGACGGCATCAGAGCTTTCACGAGGTAGGGAAGAGAAGAATCGATTCAGCGAGATTGGGACGTCTTGAATATGTCATGCTCGCGAGATGGTAATGAGACACAGCTACACGAGTAGGTGCAGCGGCAGAACGTGATGGAGGGCGAGATTTGCCTGTGGAGAGAGAGTCTACCTAAGCTATGGACTGCGGTGAACGGCAGGACCACATGTCATACACATGATTTGAAATGTCGTGGCTCACGCTGGCTTGTGTATTGTCTTTGAGTCGAACACCGGACGAGTGACGACCCAAGTAAATATTGCATCGCAGAAGCTTGGAGAAATGCGTACGATCATTTCTGATACTTGACTAGGAGGTGCCCTCTAGTTTTTCACTCTCAACTTCGATTTCTAACAGCCAGGTCGCTAGGAATTGATTGTTCATGGCCAAAGATGTCATTTTCCTTTCATTCTGTGAGAGCTACCACTAGTATTGAACAAGTGGACGTTATGATCTATTTGTGTGGTATTTATTGGTTTCTAGCATGTGCGTCTGCCAGTGGCAGACTACCTACGAAGAGCCTTCAAGTTTAGCTCATGGCAATTTCACATTTCCTTCTCTGCGTTTTTTAGTAAGCCTCCCCTCCAGTTCCTGTCTTCCGATCAATCGCTTCGACTGTATCCTGATCTATTGGGATCATTTTTTCTCTCAATTGACATATATCATCTTTGTGATGACTGCTCTGACTGAGCTATCAGACGTATCCCCTTTGAGACAAGCTTCTCACATGGGATTGTGAGACCTCGGTCTCTGTGGACATCAAAAGTGAGGTTCCGTCAGACTTCCATTTCGGGGTCGAAAGGTACGAGTACAGGGGTAATCTGGCTTCATTGAGTAAGAGAAAGTGCCCGGTCCAACAGTCAAAGTACCGACATCGGATGATGTACACGATACATTCTTAGGCACAAGAGACTGCCTGAATTGTGCAAAGGTTGACCACGGAGATAGCTTCTTGATGGCGCTCTTTCTTGAGAATACCGTTCTATCCACTCTGTTGCCTCTAAACACTACTCTCTGCTCACCTAGTATAAAGATTCCCTGGTCACGTAGCTATCTTCAGAGCAAAAGGACGCACCTACTCTCCGATGACAGAAAAGAAGAGAACACCAACATCTCATAGCCTGACTCCAGAATTGAAACGGGAATTCTTCCAGGCCAATGGAAGCCTCTCCCATACCTACGTTCCTAGCACGTCGAGCAACCACCCGCTCTCGG